TTAAAAAAAAAAAAAAAACCTTTTTTTGTTGAAAATTTTTATCGTGACTTTTTAAGAGTTGCGACAAGGGGGTTTTTTTTTTCCCCAAGAGCAGAAAAGCTCTTTTAAAAAAGTCTTTTTTTAAAAATATCTTTTTGGGGGGGGCTGCGGCGCAAAAGGGGCTATCCCCCCGCTGCGGCGCTGGCATCCCAGGTTCTAGTCCTGGTCGGGGCGCTGGATTCTGTCCCGGTTGCCCCTCTTCCAGGCCAGCTCTCTGCTGTGGCCAGGGAGTGCAGTGGAGGATGGCCCAAGTGCTTGGGCCCTGCACCCCATGGGAGACCAGAAGCACCTGGCTCCTGGCTTCAGATCAGCACGGTGCGCCAGCCGCAGCGCACCAGCTGCAGCAGCCATTGGAGGGTGAACCAACGGTAAAGGAAGACCTTTCTCTCTGTCTCTCTCTCTCACTGTCCACTCTGCCTGTCAAAAAAAAAAAAAAAAGTCTTTCATGGGGTTGGCCCTGTAGTGTAGCAGGTAAAGCCTCCACCTCAGTGCCGGCATACCATAATGGCACCTGGCTGCTCCACTTCTGATCCAGCTCCCCGCTATAGCCTGGGAAAGCAGAGGAAGATGGCCCTTGTGCTTGGGCCCCTGCGCCCACATGGGAGACCTGGAGGAAGCTCCTGGCTCCTGGCTTTGAATCAGCTCAGCTCTGGCCATTGCGCCTATTTGGGGAGTTATAACCAATGGATGGAAGACCTCTCTCTCTCGGCCTCTCTATAACTCTGCCTTTCAAATAAATAAATAAATAAAAACCTTTCAAAAATGTCTTTCAAAAGAAACTGAATTTGTTTTTGTTTAGTTTATGCACCTCCCTCCATAAAGGATGTTTTTCCACACAGACAACCCATCCGGAAATGAGCATGCCCTTTACTTTTATAGGCATGACTATTCCTTAATAACAAAAAATCATTAAATACCTAATAGGATAAAACAAAAGTTTTGTGACTATACACTTTGTAAATTGAGATTGAGATCAATCAAAAATCAAAATGTGGGGCCGGTGCTAAGGCGTAGCGGGTAAAGCCGCGGCCTGTAGTGCCAGCATCCCGTACAGGCACTGGTTTGAGTCCTGGCTGCTTCACTTCCGGTTCTGTTCTCTGCTATGGCCTGGGAAGGCAGTGGAGGATGGCCCAAGTGCTTGGGCCCCTGCACTCATGTGGGAGACCTGGAGGAAGCTCCTGGCTCCTGGCTTTAGATCGGCCCAGCTCTGGCCGTTGTGGCCATTTGGGGAGTGAACCAGAGGATGGAAGACCTCTCTCTCTCTGACTCTACCTCTCTGTAACTGCCTTTGAGATAATAATAAATCTTAAAAAAAAAAAAAAAATGTGTGAAATGAAAATGACTACTATAACAAGCTTTATTCATCTTGCAACAAAAATAAAAATGATTGCAAAGGAAAGGAACTGTTATTAAGACACAGGGTAACCGAAGTAACACAAAGTTACAAAATTAGCACACTTTCAAAGAAAGTGTTAAATAAGTTTCTTCTTGATAAAGAGAAGGTTCTCCTAGTATTGTTCAGTGACCTGTACTGTTTCAATGCAAATCTTGGCTGACAAAACAACCATATAAAAGTCAACCTGGGGACAGACAACCTTCACTGTAGAGGGGCTCCCCTCAGACATGGATTGAAGTATACAGTTACTGTGGGTAGCTGGCATTTGAGAAAAGAGCAAAAATAGACTTTTATGTAAAAAAAAAACTCAAAACTCATTAAAGGTTATATGTCTATTACAGGTTGAAACTGCTTGAGACTAATAAGGAATTTAGTTCAATCTGAAGGAAACAGAAAGAACATAGTAAGAGATGATACTTGATAACAATTGAGGATCTAAATTCTGTAAAGTACTGTGGACCACACCCAAGTGTTCCCAAGACTATCAGCAGTCTAAGGATTTGACTGTATGAATGACCACACTGAAATCGCATTTCAGATCAGCAAGTACTCTTATAAGACCACGTTACAGGAATACTGTCATGTAACAGACGTATTTTGGAGTGTCCTTGCCTAATTTCCACACTTTGGCAAATCAGGTTGCACATAGATTAGAGAGTCCATTAAGACAGCAAAAGATCCTGGAAATGACAGTGCTGTTAAATTCAAATAAAGAAACAACCCGAAGCATGGGAATTTGGTTACTTCCTATTCAACAGATCTTAAAAGGGTGAGCAACCCAGTCAGTAATTAGCTACCCAACCACCATTGTTAGTAGGAGCTAAGAGAAGAAACTTACTCTGTGCCCAGCCTTAGTGGAATGAAGAAGTTGATTGCAGACAGGGGGATAAAAAAAAGGGTGAAACATGACCAATGTTAAAAGGAAGCAACAAAAAGGAAACAAACCAAAAAAGAACAAAAACCCATACCAAATGAATACGCAAATAATTGTTAATGATTTCTGAGTGTTATGAAAGAAAATGTTAAAAATCAGCTGTGCTCAAAACAATACCAAAAGAACCACTTCTGTTGTATTTTTAAACATGACACAAACACGTTCTTTTTAATAAATTTGCCTTATCGATTTTTTCTAATCATTCTCCAGATTGACTCCCATCCATTGTTTCTTACTGTTTAGATTTTTAAGATTTTATACGATAATTTAGAAAAATCACTCAGCAATAGCTTAAAAGCTAACATTTTCCGAATTCTTAGGGTCTCATGTTTTTGTCAACATCGGTCGCCTGAATTCCACACCAATGCCTGGGTTCCGGTCCTGGCTCAGCTTCTGATTCCAGCTTCCCGCTAACGGGCACCCTGCGAGACGAGAGCTGGCGGGGCCTCTGCCACCCACAAGGCAGCGAGGCCTGCATTAAGTTCCAGGGTCCTGGCTTCTGGCTGTCCAGGCATCTGGGCAGGGAACCAGCAGACAGATGCCCCTTCCCTCTCTCACTCTGTCTCTCCGCCTCTCCAGCGAAACAAAACAAAACACTATAAAGTGAATTACTTTAAAGAGACTCTGTTAGAAGCAAAAGACCAACAGCGGGACTAAAGCTTTTAGAGACGCCAAAGCGCTTCCAGCACAGGTCCTTGGCTGTCACGTCGGAAATCCACCTCTCGAACCGGGCTGTCTGTCCCAGAGCAGCTGCAATTCCAGAAAAACGCTACGGGTGCCTATCAGAGAGCCAAGTCCCCGCGCGGCGAGCTCCCATCGGGGAAAAACCAGGACCCGCGGAGCTGCTCTGCTAACGGCTGCCTTCCTAGAGGAAACCGATTTCGGCTGCGAGGCCTCGTGCAGGAAGCTCTCGGGGGCGACAGCCGATGGCCCGCGGCTGGCCGGGGAAGCCCGAGACGAACGAAGGAGGTGGCGCCCCCCACCCCAAACTACCCTGCCCCCCAGAAAACGGGCCACGTCGCGCCCTCTCCCAGTCTCGACTTCACAGGACCTTCGGAGGCACTCGGAGCACACAGCGATTTTAGGGGCCAAGCCCCGCGCTCTCGGAGCAGCCCGCCCTATCCCAGGGCCGCAGGGGCCGGTTCTGAGCCCCCCACGCGCGGCGAGGGCTGCTCGCTCCCGGCCGCACGGAGCGGGGAAGCGGGCGCTCGGCCGGCGGGAGGGGCCTCCTGCAGGGAAAGCAGCGGGGGCGCTCCGGGCACAGGCACAAGGGCCGTCCCGCACTCGGGCCTGCGCGTCTCGTGACGGCACAGACCGGCCCCGGACGCCCTCCGGCCCCCGGGATGGCAGTGCGAGGCCAGGGCCGGCCGCACCCAGAGGTGGCCGCTCGCTCGCTTCCTCCGCTAGCCCTCCTCCCGGGCCTTGCGGCAGGCCAGCGCCTGGACTGCTCCCGACAAGACCTCCGGGGCTGCCCGCGCCCTGGCCCTAGCTCTGGGACTCGGCGCGGCTGCCAACGACGCAGCACCCCGGCCGGCAGCCAGGCCGCGGTCGCCGCAGCGGCAGTCCTCACCATCCTGTCACCGGGCTCCGCTCAATCACCGCAGCCGCCGCCGCCTTCTTCCTCAGGCTCCTCCGAGACCCGCCCACTTCGCCCACAACCAATGGGAAGCGAGGGCGAGAGGAGACGGCCGTACGGAGACCCGTGGGGGCCTTTCCCCGCCGTCAGGCGCAGTTCGCTTCGCGAACCCGAGGAGGCGGGGCGGGGGGGTGGAGCGACGGGACCGCGCAGGGGGCGGAAAGCGCGGGCTACATCCGGGCACGCGGGCCTGGGGCGCCGAGGTGCTGAGGCGCGCTTCGCGAGCGCCGCCATGCTGAAGTGCGCTATGAGCGGCGGTGCGGTGAGAGGTGGAGTGCCCTTTCTTGAATTCCCGTGTAGACGAGCGAAAGTCCAAGGGTCGGGTTTTTTGTTTTTGTTTTTTGGACTCCACCGTCATCTTACTCGTCCTCTTTGTGCGCAAGGGCCGAGGACACAAGGCCTGACCGCAGCCAGGCCGCACAGGCCCGGGGGTCTGCCGGCTTCGGAAGGGAGGATGGCGGCCCGTCTTTCATTTATGAGTGTTTAAGTGGTGGTGCCCGTGAGAAGAAGTCATCCCATCGAGTCGGGACGAGGGAGGCTGCCTCTAGGGGAGTTGAGGGAGCATAATGCCTGGACACGGAACCTGTTTTGTGCATAAAAAGCCCCCCTCCCCCATTTCTGAAATTCCCGACCTCAAACAAGCCGCTAAATCACTGACGGGCTCAACGTTCTCATCTGTCGAATGGGAACCCGAGCACCTCCGTTCCGGGGTTTGTGGAAGGAAAAGGTGGCAGCAGTGCATTTAAAGGAGGCAGTGACGGACGGGAATGCGCGGCCGCCGTTATACGGTTGCCGATGGCGCTTTGAAATCGGAAGGTGCCCCAGGGAGCCGTTAGAAAAGCAACGGCTTTCGGGGTGTGAGGACTGGGAGGGACGGCGCGGTGTTCCCGAGCAGGGCAGGAAGCACAGCGCCCCCTTCCGGGGCTTGTGCTCCCAGCACCGTCCTAGTAGGTGTGCACTTGCGTTGTCAAGAAGCGCCCATACATATCATTAGTTCTTTAGTTTCTAAGTGCTACGAGGGCAGGGACTCTTTTTCTTAAAAAAAAAAAAAAAAAAGATTTCTTTTTATCTATTTGAAAGGTAGAGAGAGAGGGACAGACGCAGAAAGAGAATCTCCCATCTGCTAGTTCAGTCCTAAATGCCTGCAACAGCAGCTGGGCCAGGTGGAGGCTGGGAGCCTGGAACCCAATCTGGGTCTCTCTCATGGGCGGCAGGAACCCAGCCAAGTACTCGAGCCGTCATTGCTGCCTCCCAGGGTGCACATGCGCAGAAGCCGGCCAGGTGGGGGCGCGCAGGCACTCCGATACGGAATGTGGGACTCCTCGCTGATGTAATCACAGAGCCAGGTCCCACCCCTATTCCTGTGTTTTTCATTGCTATACCCCAGTGCCTTGGGTTTACATGCAAGAGAGTAGGTGCTCAGTAAATACGCAATGCATGAAAAGTCAGCACTAGACAGCTTTAGGAAAAAGAGGTGAGAAGTGAAGTGATTCAAAAGGAGAAAATACCTTTAATTTTTACAACGTTTAATATTTTATCATCCTTTCTCAGTGTACATACTTGTGATTCTTAATCATTGTAAGCTGGTTTTATGTTCTGGGATGACTTTTCCTTTTTTATACGTTCCCACGGATTGGATTGGGTCGTCCTTTTGTATTGTATTTGTATTGTAACTCTTTGCCATTGTTCACATCAACAATGTTGTAACAGATCAGACCAATGTTTCATCCAGCCCTAGCCTTTCTGACAAGGCACCCAAGTGTGTGTGTGTTGAGGAAGTCTGGCATCTACCATACGATTATCCAACAGACATGGAGCTTGTATATCCTTATTTCCCTTTCATGATTTTTTTTTTTCCTGTTTGTGAAGTTATTAAAACACTGAAGGGGCCAGTGCTGTGGCACAGAAGGTTAAGCCACTCTCACAGTGCTAACATCCACATGGGTGCCAGTCTGAATCCTGGCTCCACTTCCAATCTGGTTCCCTGCTAATATGCATAGGAAAAGAGGGGAGGATGGTCTAACTCCATGGGCCCCTGCCACACACATGGGAGATCCAGAAGGAGCTTCTGGTTCCTGGCTTTGGCCTGGCCCAGCAATGACCATTGCAGCCATTTTAAAAATGAACCAGTAGGGGCCGGCGCCACGGCTCAATAGGCTAATCCTCTGCCTAGTGGCGCCGGCACAGCGGATTCTAGTCCCGGTCAGGGCGACGGATTCTGTCCCGGTTGCCCCTCTTCCAGGCCAGCTCTCTGCTGTAGCCCGGGAGTGCAGTGGAGGATGGCCCAAGTGCTTGGGCCCTGTACCCCATGGGAGACCAGGAGAAGCACCTGGCTCCTGCCATCGGATCAGCGCAGTGCGCCGGCTGCAGTGCGCCTGCCGCGGTGGCCATTGGAGGGTGAACCAATGGCAAAGGAAGACCTTTCTCTCTCTCTCTCTCTCTCACTCTCCACTCTGCCTGTCAAAAAAAAAAAAAAAAAAAAAAAAAAAAAAAAAAAAAAAAAAAGAACCAGTAGTGGCCGGTGCTGTGGATTAGTGGGTTGGGCTGCCACCTGTAGTGCCGGCATCCCATGTGGGCGCCCTTTTGAGACCTGGCTACTCCACTTCTGATCCGACTCTCTGCTATGGCCTGGGAATGCAGTGGAAGATGGCCCAAGTCTTTGGGCCCTTGCACCCGCATGGGAGACCTGGAAGAAGCTCCTGGCTCCTGGCTTCAGATCGGCAAAGCTCTGGCCATTGCAGCCAATTGGGGAGTGAACCAGCGGATGGAAGACTCCTCTCTCTCTCTCTCTCTGCCTCTCCTTCTCCCTCTGTGTAACTCTGACTTTCAAGTAAATAAATAAATAATTTTTTTTTAAAGTGAACCAGTGGATGGAAGATCTCTGTCTCTCTTTCACTCTCACTCTCTGTAGCTCTGTCTTTTAAATAAATAACCTTTTTTTTTTTTAATTTTTTGACAGGCAGAGTGGACAGTGAGAGAGAGAGACAGAGAGAAAGCTCTTCCTTTTTCTGTTGGTTCACCCCCCAATGGCTGCTGAGGCCTGTGCGCTGTGGCCGGTGCACCGCGCTGATCCATAGCCAGGAGCCAGGTGCTTCTCCTGGTCTCCCTTGTGGGTGCAGGGCCCAAGCACTTGGGCCATCCTCCACTGCACTCCCTGGCCACAGCAGAGAGCTGGAATGGAAGAGGAGCAACCGGGACAGAATCCGGTGCCCTGACCAGGACTAGAACCTGGTGTGCCGGCGCCGCAGGCGGAGGATTAGCCTATTGAGCCACAGCGCCGGCCTAAATAAATAATCTTTTAAAAAAACACTTTAAATCATAATCTCTAAGCACTATATTTGTACTTTTGGGAGACACATATTAATTGAAGCCAAGTTTTAAAATGCATTAATATGGAAATTGCCTTGCAACCATAGCTCCATGCAACACTGCAGGGGGAAAGAATGAAGAGTTTTTGCTAAATAATTATGTCACACACTCGTTTTGCAAATTTATTGAGCTCCTATTATGTGCCTAGCATATTGCCAAGGCTATTCTTTTTATCTATCTACCTACCTACCTACCCACCCACCTACCTACCTACCTACCTATCTATGGGCAGAGACAAAGAGGAGAGCTCCCATCTGCTGGTCCACTCCCTAAATGCCTGCAATGGGAACTGAAGCCAGGAGCTGGGGATTCAGTCCAGGCTCCCACATGGGTGGAGGGAATCCAACTGTTTGCACCATGACGGTTGCCTCCCGGGATTGGCATTAGCAGGAAGCTGAAATCAGGAGCCAGAGCCAGGAGTTGAACCCAGACACTCTGATATGGGAATGGGTATCTCAACTGGCATCTTTTTTTTTTTTTTAAAGATTTATTTATTTATTTGAAAGGCAGAGTTACAGAGAGGAAGGGAGGAAGAGTGAGAGTGAGAGAGAGATCTTCCTTCCACTGGTTCACTCCCCAAATGGGCTGATCTGAAGCCAGGAGCAAGGAGCTTCTTCTGGGTCTCCCATATGGGTGCAGGGGCCCAAGGACTTGGGCCATCTTCTACTGCTTTCCCAGGCCATAGCACAGAGCTGGATCAGAAGTGGAGCAGCTGGGACTCGAACTGGCACCCATATGGAAGCTAGCATTACAGGCTGCAGCTTTACCCACTATGCCACAGCGCTGGCCTCTCAACTAGCATCTTAACTACTAGGTCAGATTCCCACTCCATACCACATTTCACAAAGCAATGTAGCATGAGATTATGAAACATTTTTTGGATCAATTGAATAATTTGTCTCTTAGATATAGGCAACTGAAGAATTTCCCCCTGAATATTTATAATAAACAATATATCATATTAGCAGGAAATTGTTCTGATAGAGGCAGTAAAACGGAATTGAAAGCATTATTTACAAATCAATTATGCCATTTAATTTGACCAAATGTGAGTCCAGCATAGCCCCTGAACTCCTCTCATAATCACACATTCTGCTTTACATTTGTTTCAAAAGAATTTGATATTTTGAGTCTGCATGCTAAGAGGTGACAGGAAATGGAAGTTGAGATCATTGTGCTTATCCTGAGCATTTTGGAAATCAAGGAGAGACTGAATGTTACTATTGTGTATACAGCCCATGGATCAGAGGGAGTATGTGTTGCAAAATAGGCAGCAAAATTTGGACAGAATCCTTGCCAACAAGTTCCAAATAACCAATAGGTAATATCTATGGGTGGTGTCTTTGATGCCAAAAGCCTGTATTTTCCTCTCTGGGAATTTGACATGCAGATAAGGACAAATTGTTCAGTTGATCCCACTGTACTGTATGATTTTATCTCAAGTCCTCTGACTACTAATATAGTCTTATAATTTGGTGTTTGTTGTTGTTGTTAGAAAGAATGTAAGCAACACTTTTCTTTTTTTCCATAGTATTTGGAAAAGCAATCCAAGCTCTATCACGAATTAGTGACTACCTGTGGCTTGACCCATCTGAAAAAGGTGTAAGTAAGAAAGTTAAGTAAAAGACGATGCATTAAGCCAAGAGGAGATTAAAGATCCCAGTCCAGGTAGAATGTTATCCAGGAAATCAAAAATTATTGCTTTTACTGTAAACTCTGAAATCCCTTTTGTATTGCCGTCTGCTGCTTCACACATTAAAGTTAAGGCCCCTGGAGGCACTTAGAATTTTAAAATTTCAAGATACAAGATTTTAGATTTGGTACATACACGTATTCAATATAGATATGTACACTTATGTGTATACACATGCAAATGCACCACACACCATGTAGTGCAGTCTATAGCTAACATCTCATTTACTTTAACACATAGTCATGTGTCTTTTTTTTTTTTTTTTGACAGGCAGAGTGGAAAGTGAGAGAGAGACAGGGAGAAAGGTCTTCCTTTTGCTGTTGGTTCACCCTCCAATGGCCGCCACGGCTGGCGCGCTGTGGCCGGCGCATCGTGCTGATCTGAAGCCAGGAGCCAGGTGCTTCTCCTGGTCTCCCATGGGGTGCAGGACCCAAGCACTTGGGCCATCCTCCACTGCACTCCCGGGCTACAGCAGAGAGCTGGCCTGGAAGAGGGGCAACCGGGACAGAATCCGGTGCCCTGACCAAGACTAGAACCCGGTGTGCCGGTGCCGCAGGCGGAGGATTAGCCTATTGAACCAGGGCGCCGGCCAGTCATGTGTCTTAGAATGATGAGGGGCCAGCGCCACGGCTCAATAGGCTAATCCTTCACCTAGCAGCGCCGGCACCCCGGGTTCTAGTCCCGGTCGGGGCGCCAGATTCTGTCCCGGTTGCCCCTCTTCCAGGCCAGCTCTCTGCTGTAGCCCGGGAGTGCAGTGGAGGATGGCCCAAGTGCTTGGGCCCTGTACCCCATGGGAGACCAGGAGAAGCACCTGGCTCCTGCCATCGGATCAGCGTGGTGCACCGGCCACAGCGCGCCAGCCGTGGCGGCCACTGGGGGGTGAACCAACGGCAAAGGAAGACCTTTCTCTCTGTCTCTCTCTCACTATCCACTCTGCCTGTCAAAAAACCAAACAAACAAACAAACAAACAAAAGATGAGGATGCATTTCTCTGAATGTGTATCTTCATCATTGTATAAATATCCTGGAAAGTGCTTTCACAAACAGAGATGGCTGCAACACCACTAGACAATATAATTTCATGGGGCCGCCCTTGTGTTGTGGTCTGTTGTTAAGCGAAACATTGTTACATAGTGTGTGATTGTATTTAACTGTGATGTTAAACATATTGAAAGTTTTGAATTAAACTATCATATAAAGAAAGTTGATTTTACCCTAAATACCTATTACTTTACTTTTCCAGCTTGCTCTAAGAACTCTGAATTCTTCTGAGTCATCATATGGTTCTGTCCTGTTCTCACCTGTGTTTTTCCAACATTATCAGTGGTCTCCAGTGAAAATGAATGATAATGGCACAGCATTGCATTTAAATTGCAAATTGGGAATGAAGGTAAATATAAGTGGCCCAAGTTTTCTCTTGCACTGTAGAAATATTTGTTATACAGGACATAACATCTATTCTATGCTTAGTAGCATACAAGACAAATCTATTCATTTATGAATACAATACTCTTGTTAGTTTTTAAAAACTAATCTAACAATGATATTAGATATGTGTTTAATTTGTCTAATGTATTTGTGTTACAGTCAATTCTGCCCATCTTTAGATATCCGAACTCTCTTGAAAGAAATGTAGAAAAGTGCAAAATATTCACCAGATCTGATAAATGCAAAGTAGTTATTCAGTTCTTCTGCAGACATGGTAGGTGCAATTCAAACTAGTTTAAAATAAAAAAAAAAAACTTTTTATATTTATAGTAGTAGTCAAATTGTGTATCAAGACTTCACATTGTTTTATTGCTTAGAATTTGTGTAGTTAGGTAACAGGGCAGTTCTAACTACTATTTTGTTGCTGTAGAAATATTATAAAATGATTTGTATTATTTATTTATCTTTTGAATTATCAGTGACTCAGGATTGGTCTGCACTAAAACCAGTTTTTTTAAATGTCCATTTGAATTCGAACAATTGGTTGTTCTAAAATTTAGTGGTTGCTTAATATTCTGAGAGCGCTTTGTATGTTGTCTTAACCACAGATGGCCCTTGTAAGAATTGAATAATGACTATTTGTCCTAAAAACGGTCTAGGAAGCAGATATTATCATATGGGGCTGATGGAAGTGACTGTCATGTGACTGACGCAAGGTCACATAGCTAGTAAATCAGAGAGCCTGGATTTGATTCCAGGCCCGTGAGAGTGGGAGCCAAAGCTTGCATTCATTCTCTGCTGCACCAAGCTGTCAGCAGATTTCCTGACTCCCAGCCTTGCATGGTGGGCATTAAAATGTTGTACTCACAGGACTTTAACATCCTGTACAGCGGTGATAAAGGGCAGGGACTCAGGAAGCTGCAAGGCCTAGGTTCTGCTCTTTCCTGCGTGAGACCTTGGAAAAATTATTTCCGATCTCTGAGCCTCACTTTCCCAATTTCCAAAATGGGGATAATGTTAGTACCAGCTTTGTAGGGGTTTGTGAAGTCTCAATGAGTAATTCCTGTAAAGTATTTAGGAAATGCCTGGAACATTCTCTAAGTATTAGCTCTCATTATATGTTATTATAATTGCAGCTATTTTCTTTGATTAACAGGAAGAATTTTGTGCTTTAAAAAAAATCTTCTATTTGTGATATTGGTCTAACTCTTTTTTAAGAAAAGATGTATTTATTTATATGAAAGACAGAGTTACAGAGAGGCAGAGGCAGAGGGAGAGAGGGAAATCTTTCATCTGCTGGTTCACTCTTCAGATGGCTGCTATGGCCAGAGAGAGAGAGAGAGAGAGAGAGATTGAGAGAGAGAGGCAGAGGCAGAGGGAGAGAGGGAAGTCTTTCATCTGCTGGTTCACTCCCCAGATGGCTGCTACGGCCAGAGCTGAGCAATCCAAAGCCAGGAGCCAGGAGCCAGGAGCCTCTTCTGGGTCTCTCATGTGAGTGCAGGGACCCAAGGACTTGGGTCATCTTCTACTGCTTTCCCAGGCCATCAGCAGGGAGCTCGATAAGAAGAGGAGCAGCCAAGACTAGAACCAGCACCCATATGGGATGCCAGCACTGCAGGCAGTGGCTCTACCCACTATGCCACAGCACCAGCCTCCTAAATCATTTTTTATAGTGGAATGATCGTATGGATTTTTATCTTACTGTTACAATTTATTCTGTATTAGTTAATTTTACCTTAATGTTTTTATTTTAGCATATATTTATGTTTCTTGCCTAAAAAATGCCAGTAATTTAACTTTTTTCCTATTCTTTGAACTTTAGTTTGTGTATAGCAAAATAATGAAATCACCATGATTAAAAGCATAGTAAGCCTTGATGTTCCAAAGATGTGGGTGTGAATTCTACTCTGCTTATTAGCTTTGTGACAGTACATAAACTCTCCAAATCTTCATTTTGTTCTGTTCAAAATGGGTGTAATCTCACCTACCCTCATGTTACAGGGTTTTCTTGAGTATAAAGTGAGGTCTCAAGTGTGAAGCACATAGCATGGAGCCTGACACAGAGGTAGTGCTCTTAGCCAGTTAATGCTGTGATTACAATTATCCTCTGCCCTTGTTGCCAGTTGGATGTGTGTGTGTGTGTGTATGTGTGTTTAAAGATTTATTTACTTATTTGAAAGCAGAGTTACAGAGAGGCAGAGACAGAGAGAGCAAGAGAGGTGTTCCATCTGATGGTGCACTCCCCAGATGGCTGCAATGGCTGGAGCTGGGCCGATCTGAAGCCTGGAGCCAGGAGCTTCCTCCAGGTCTCCCACGTGGGTGCAAGGGCCCAAGGACTTGAGCCATCCTCTACTGTTTTCCAAGGCCACAGCAGAGAGCTGGATCAGAAGTGGAGCAGCCAGGACTGGAACCAAGCACCCATATGGGTGCCAGTACTGCAGGCAGTGGTTTTACTTGCTACATCACAATGCCGGCCCCCAATTGGATGTTTTTAAAAGATGCATTTATTTGAAAGACAAAGTGAAAGAGAAGAAGATCTTCCATCCACTGATTCACTCTCTAAATGACCATAATGGTCAGGTCTCAGCCAGGCTCAAGTCAGGAGCCTAGGACTTGGACCATTATCCACTGCTTTCCCAGGCAATTACCATTGAGCTGGCTTGGAAGTGCAGCAATGGGGACTTGATCTGGCATTCCAGTTCAAGTTGCAGCACAACCCACTGAACCAAAACACTAGCTCCACCAGTAGATTTTTTCATAAATTTCAAAAATCTATTTATTTGAAAGACAGAACAACAGAGATTAGATAGTAGAAAGATAAGGGCCGGCGCCGCGGCTCACTAGGCTAATCCTCCGCCTAGCGGCGCCGGCACACCGGGTTCTAGTCCCGGTCGGGGCGCCGGATTCTGTCCCGGTTGCCCCTCTTCCAGGCCAGCTCTCTGCTATGGCCAGGGAGTGCAGTGGAGGATGGCCCAGGTGCTTGGGCCCTGCACCCCATGGGAGACCAGGAAAAGCACCTGGCTCCTGGCTCCTGCCATCGGATCAGCACGGTGCGCCGGCTGCAGCGGCGGCCATTGGAGGGTGAACCAACGGCAAAGGAAGACCCTTCTCTCTCTGTCTCTCTCTCTCACTGTCCACTCTGCCTGTCTATACTCTAAAATTTTTTAAAAATTATTTTATCTATTTGAAAGATAGATCTTCCATCCTAAATGACTATAACAGTATGCCTGGGCTAGGCCAAAACCAGGAGCCTGGAGGTCAGTCTGGGTCTCCCATCTAGTCAGGGACCCAAGTCCTTGAGGTATCACTTGCTGCCTTCAAGGGAGTACATTAGTGGGAAGCTGGAATTAGAAGTGGAGTGAAGACTCAAACCAGGTGTTCTGATATGGGATGCTGGCATCTTAACTGCTACACCAAAGGCCCATCCTGCCCATTGGATTCTAAACAACCCAGTGTTCAGTTTTTGAAGTATCTCTAAAGTGGCTTGATTAGTGTCCAATAAATATTTGTGATTGGTTAATTTTTTGTTTTTGTAGGGTAGTTGTATGTGTTAGGTTACAAGTGAGGAAAAAGAGAAAAAACCAGACTGTCTAACACAAACTGGTCAACAATAAAGAATAATACTGGCTCATGTAATGAAAAAATTCAGTATTGGGTCATATGCATGGCTCAACCTAATCTTCCACTTCTTTTTCTTTTTTTAAGATTTATTTGTTTATTTGAAAGTCAAGGGGCCGTGCTATGGCATAGCAGGTAAAGCTGCTGCCTACAGTGCTGGCATACCATATGGGCGCCAGTTTGAGTCCCAGCTGCTCCACTTCTGATTCAGCTCTCTGCTATGGCCTGGGAAAGCAGTAGAAGATGGCTCAAGTGCTTGGACCCCTGCACCCACGTGGGAGACCTGGAGGAAGCTCCTGGCTCCTGGCTTCGGATCGGCATAGCTCTGGCCATTGCAGCCATCTGGGTAGTGAACCAGTGGATGGAAGACCTCTCTCTCTCTATCTCTCTTTCTACCTCTGCCTCTCTGTAACTCTGCCTTTCAAATGACTAAACAAATCTTAAAAAAAAAAAAAAAAGTAAAAATTAGAGAGAGGGAGAGCCAGAGAGAGAGATATTTTCCAAATATTGGTTCACCCCCCAGATGGCCACAACAGCCAGGGCTGGTGCAGGCTGAAGTCAGGAGCTTCATCCATGTCTCCCATATGGGTGCAGGGACCCAAGGACTTGGGCCATCTTCTGCTGCTTTTCCAGGCCAAGAGAGCTGGATTGGAAGTGGAGCAGCTGGGACTTGAACTGGCACCCACATGGGATGACAGCATTGCAGGGTAAATGTGGATAAATTTGCAACCGCAGAACTGAGAGGCATTCTAAGATGAAGAAGTGTGAAGGTAAAGGCTGAGAGTGTTTTGCGTGCATACATTTGGAAAAAGGGGAAGAAAGCAATTAGCAAGGAAAGGAGCATCAGGGATGCTCAGCTTCTCCGTCCTCTACCAGTTCTCATTTTTTCAAATGTTTGTTATGTGGGTATAGATTTGTTATATGGGCATGTATAGGCTATTTCTAAAGAACGCCCCAGAAACTGGTAACTGTAGTTGCTTCTGGGGGTGGGGGGCACGACTCAGAACCGGAGGTGACTTCCTTTTTCCTGAATATTCTTTGATATCTTTTGCATTGTACACTATGTGCATTTATAACTATCTCCTCCAAAAGCGACTTGCAAATATATTTTAAAATACATAAGAAATGTCAGCTTTTGATACTTGTGTCTCTAAAAACAGAAGCCACATTGATCCCTCTAAAATAGGTCAGATTGAGGTGGGCGTTTGGCCTAGTTGTTAATACCCCATGTTCCATCGGAGTACCTGAGTTCAATACCTGCCCTGACTCCTGACTCCAGCTTCCCGCTAATGTGGACCCTGGGAGGCAGTGGTGATGGCTCAAGTAATGGGGTTTCTGTCGCATTCCTGGCTTGTGGCTTTGGTCCCAGACTGTCCTGGCCTTTGTAGGTATTTGGAGAGCGAACTTATGATGGGAGAGTGTGTATGCTCTTTTTCACTCTTAAATAAAAAAGAAAAACAGGTCAGATTATGTGATTGCAGTGCTCAGATCTCTCAGATAGCTCCCCATTTTACCCAAGGGAAAGCCAAAGATCTTGGATTAGGATCTTCCATAATTCAGAAGCTTCAGTGTGCTTCCTCCCTGAGGTGTGTGCCCTGCTCCAAGGCCTGTTGTCCTGTTTGTCTTCTTGTCTATCTGCTCTCACTAGAACATAAGCTCTATGAGGACAGAGATTTTTGTCTGTTTTGTTCTCTGCTAGTTCCAGCTCCTTAAATAATCCTTGTGTGGTTTATTATTATTAAAAGATTTATTTATTGGCCGGCGCCGCGGCTCACTAGGCTAATCCTCCGCCTAGCGGCGCCGGCACACCGGGTTCTAGTCCCGGTCGGGGCGACGGATTCTGTCCCGGTTGCCCCTCTTCCAGGCCAGCCCTCTGCTGTAGCCAGGGAGTGCAGTGGAGGATGGCCCAGGTGCTTGGGCCCTGCACCCCATGGGAGACCAGGAAAAGCACCTGGCTCCTGGCTCCTGCCATCGGATCAGCGCGGTGCCCCGGCCGCAGCGCGCCGGCCGCGGCGGCCATTGGAGGGTGAACCAACGGCAAAGGAAGACCTTTCTCTCTGTCTCTCTCTCTCACTGTCCACTCTGCCTGTCAAAAAAAAAAAAAAAAAAGATTTATTTATTTATTTGAAAATCAGAGTTATACAGAGAGAGGAGAGACAGAGAGAGAGAGGGAGATCTTCTGTCTGCTACTTCAATCCCCAAATGGCCACAATGACGGGGGCTGCGCCAGGCCAAAGGCAGGGTCCAGGCACTTTTTTCCGGGTTTCCCACGTGGTTTTCCCTTGGTGGGAAAATGAGGTCCTTAGATGATCCTGCCACAGCTAAGCCCAGTGCCAGGTAAATCATGAGTAGCAAGTGTTTGTTATTTTAAGCCAGTAAGTTTTGCAGTGGTTGTTATTTAGAAAAAGCTAACTAATATGTAGGTACCACAATATCTTCAGATGGAGATAACAGGTTGAGTCTGCAGCACCGTAGGGTAAGTGGTTAAAAATGTTTTATGGCGCTGGTATTGTGGTGCATTGGTTAGGCCACTGCTTATGAGGCTGGCATCCCAAATCAGAGCACCTGTTCAAGTTCTGCCTGCTACTGTGACCATTTGGGGAGTGAACCAGAGGATGGAAGATCTCTCTCTGCCTTTCAAATAAGTAAATCCTTAAATTAAAACAATACTATATATTATATATTGTATAAAGAAATGGAAGAGAAGAAACGATAGGCCCTAAACACAAAAACAAGTAAACAGAAAGGCTGCTTGTCTGGTTGATCAGTTTGTACTGTGTATCTGATAGGAAATATTGCACTGTACTACATAAAAATGTACAAATACTACATATAAATCTATTTAAATAGTAGAGAAGTCCATTTAAATAAATAAACAAAAATTCACCCCCCCCCCCAAGAAAAACCCCAGAGCAAACTAATACAGCCTGGTACATAGTAGGTGCTCAGTAAATATTTATTAAGTTAATAAGTGTATTTTTTAAAAAAAATGTATTCTTTTGAAAGATAGAGTTATACAGAGAGAGAGAGAGAGGCAGAGAGAGAGGAAAAGAGAACTTGTATCTGCTGATTGACTTCCTAAATGGCTGCCATAGCCAGGGCTGGGTCAGGCAGAAGCCAGGAGCCAGGGGCTCCATCTAGGTCTCCTACATGGGTGGCAGGGGCCCCAGCACTCGGGCTATCTTCTGCTGTTTTCCAGGCACATTGCCAGGGTTCTGGATCTGAAGCAAAGCAGCCAGGATTTGAGCTGGCACTCCATATGGGATGCTGGCATCGTAGGTGATGGCTCAATCTGCCGTGCCACAATGCCAGTCCTCAGGATGCTGTTAATTCAGTTATAAACCACATAATTTGAGAAATGTTTCTAGTGAATCCTTTTGCCTTCTCACTGCAACGTTATTATGCAGGAGAAAGATCTTGCCTACCTGGACTTCATTATGAGTTCTACATGCAAATTCAAATTCTAGTTGTACCTGTTAAAACAGTATAGCCTTGGCCGGCGCCACGGCTCACTAGGCTAATCCTCCACCTAGCGGCGCTGGCACACCGGGTTCTGGTCCCGGTCGGGGCGCCGGATTCTGTCCCGGTTGCCCCTCTTCCAGGCCAGCTCTCTGCTGTGGCCAGGGAGTGCAGTGGAGGATGGCCCAAGTGCTTGGGTCCTGCACCCCATGGGAGACCAGGAGAAGCACCTGGCTCCTGCCATCGGATCAGCGCGGTGTGCCGGCCGCAGTGGCCATTGGAGGGTGAACCAACGGCAAAGGAAGACCTTTCTTTCTGTCTCTCTCTCTCACTGTCCACTCTGCCTGTCAAACAACAACAACAACAACAACAAAACAGTATAGCCTTGAAAAGTCACTTAGCCTCACCAAGGTGTAGTTTCCTCTTCTATTAAGTCCCTACCCCACAGGGATAAGGTGAAGTTAAGAGACAGTGATTGTATAAAATGTGTGCTACAGTTCCTGGCACTGTTTTCAGGGTGAGCATCCTAACTCAAAACCTGAAATCCAAAACTCTTTGAACATCATGTGCTCAAATGTTTTTGATTTCAGATATCCAAGTTAGGCATGTCCAACTAGTAAAAGTCAATGCAAGATCACAGATATTACAAAACCCAGGAAACTCAGAAATTGGAAGCACCTCTGGAACCAAGCATTTTGGATAAGGGTTACTCAACCTGCATTGCTTCCTTTCCTACTTTTCCTCTGAGAAAATAACTCATAAACCAGATGTCGAGGTCTGATCACCAAAAGTCCTACTCAGAAGGACCAGTCTTTGCTGAAAGAGGATCACAGTCGTGGGCCACCACTGTTTGACACACAGCTGAAACTATTTCACGGGAGTTCAGGGACTCTACCGTGTGATGCGGTCAGAGTGAGATGTTGCATGGTGTCCACTAGAGGGGGATAATCTCATTTCGTCAAGGAACAGTGCGGCTCCCAGCTTAATGTGCCTTTAAGCTTATTGCTTTAATTTGGCTGTGAAACTGAGACTTTTAAAATCTATTCATTTTACACTTTAAAAATATTGATATTGCTTTCTTCTTTTTTAAGGTATTAAAAGAACGCATAACGTGCATTTTCAAGAAAGTATGCCTGTGCAAGTTATTTTTGAAAAGAATATGTGTACTAATACACTAATGATTCAACCAAGGTAATGAGTCCTCTGTTATTTATTAATTTTTTTGTTTTTCTAAATATAGTGTGGCCACAGAGAAAAGAATTAATTCCGTGGAACTTTTCAGTTACAGGGCTTATTTGTTTAAAGCTAAAACTTGACTTGGAGAATCACTGTACAGGATCAAGAGGAAGCCTTGAGAAAGATAATAACAGATAATAACCATCTAATGGTAGCATCATAATTTAGTGGTCCTTAAAGTTTCAGGAGCTGGTGCTTTGGCATAGTGGGTTAAACTACCTCCTGCAGTGCTGGCATCCCATATGGGTTCCAGTTTGAGTCCTGGCTGCTCCACTTCTGATCCAGTCCCCTGCTAGTGTGTCTGGGAAAGCAGTGGTAGATGGCCCAAGTGCTTGGGTCCCTGCACCCACATGGGAGGTCTGGAATAAGTTCTGGACTGAATAAGTTTCTGGCTGAAGCCAGAATCACAGCCCTTCATGTAGGTCTCCTTCATGGGTGGCAGGGGCCCAAGCACTTGAGCCATCATCAACTGCCTCCCAGGACACATTACTACAAAGCTGATCAGAAGTGGAGTAGCTGGGACTTGAACCAGCGCCCATATGGGATGTCTGCACTGCAGGTAGAGGCTTAACCTTCTATGCCACAGCACTGTCCCCCGCCTTATTATTATTATTATTATTATTATTATTTTAATTTCAAAGTCAGTACATGGTTCTTGCAATACATCCAAAATGTATCAAAGAGTGCAGAGGTAAAAAATGGAAGTATTGGGGCTGACTCTGGTGTAGTGGGTAAAGCCGCCACCTGCAGTACCAGCATCCCATATTGGTGCCAGGTTTTTTTTTTTTTTTGACAGGCAGAGTGGACAGTGAGAGAGAGAGACAGAGAGAAAGGTCTTCCTTTGCCGTTGGTTCACCCTCCAATGGCCGCCGCGGCCGGCGCGCTGCGGCCGGGGCACCGCGCTGATCCGATGGCAGGAGCCAGGAGCCAGGTGCTTTTCCTGGTCTCCCATGGGGTGCAGGGCCCAAGCACTTGGGCCATCCTCCACTGCACTCCCGGGCCGTAGCAGAGAGCTGGCCTGGAAGAGGGGCAACCGGGACAGAATCCGTCGCCCCGACCGGGACTAGAACCCGGTGTGCCAGCGCCGCTAGGTGGAGGATTAGCCTAGTGAGCCGTGGCGCTGGCCAGCACCTCAATTTCAAAAGGAGTATAAAACTTAGAATGCAATTTTTTAAATATTTATTTTATTTATTTGAAAAGCAGAGCTACAGAGAAAAAGAGAGAGAGAGAGAGAAAGAGAGAGAGATCTTCCATCTACTTCCATTACTCCCCAAATGGTCACAATGGCCAGGGCTGGGCCACACCAAAGCCAGGAGCCAGGAGCTGCTTTTGGGTCTCCCACATGGGTGGCAGGGGGCCTGTGGGCCATTCTCTGCTGCCTTCCCTTGCACATTAGCAGGGAGCTGGATCAAAAGTGGAGCACACAGGACTCAAATCAGTGCCCATGTGGGATGCCAGCATCACAGATGGCATCTTTACCTGCTATGGCACAGAGCTGGCCCTACAATGCAGTTTTTAAAAAAACAAAAGGGGGTGAGCATTTAGCCTATTGGTTAAGATGTCTGTATCCCACATCGGAATCCCTGGGTTTGATTCCCAGCTCCAGCGTCTGAGTCCAGTTTCCTGTTAATGAAGACCTTGCGAGGCAGCAGTGATGGTTCAAGTAATTTTGTTCCTGCCATCTGTGTGGGATACCTTGTTGGATTCTGGGCTCCTGGCTTCAGCCTGGGCAGCTCCGACTGTTGTGGGTACCCGAGGAATGAACCAATGGATGGAAAATCTCTATGTATGTCTTTATGCCTTTCAAATAAATAAACCATAAATAATTTTAAAAAATAAAAAAGACAATCCATTAAAAAGTGGGCAAAGGATTTTAATAGGCGTTACTTCAGAGAAGATACACGAATAGCCAAAAAGCACATGAAAAGATGCTCAACAATATTAGCCATTAGGAAGACATAAACCAAACAACTTTAAACATGTGATTTGTGTGTATAAATATATATGTGTGTGTGTTTATATATAATATATATTATATATAATATATAACTCTATCTATCTATCTATCTATAGAGAGAGACTTCTAGCTGTTGGTATACTCCCCAAATGCCTGCAATGACTGGGACTGGGCCTAGCTGAAGCCTCAAGATGAGAACTCAATCCAGTTCTCCCACATGGGTGGCAGGAACCCAGTCACTTGAGTCATCATCACTGCCTACCGGAGTCTGCATTATCAGGAAGCTAGAATCAGAATTTGATCCATGCATCAAACCCAAGTACTCCAATGTGAAAATGAGGGCATCTTGAATAATAGCCTAAATGCTTGCCACCATTTAAAAATATGTATTGGGCACACAGAAATTAATAGTATTTGTTTCTAGTGTTTTGTACATATTACAGCTTTCACACATTTTTCTATTCTTTTGGTCTTAAAGGAATTTACAATTTAATATAGCAATTTGTGTATAAGAAAGATGATAGTCCTTTTGAATAAATTTTTCTAAACCTAAGCTAACTAACTTACTTATTTCCAGATTGAAATTTTGAGCCTCGGTTTATTAAAGAATATCTTTCTGTTTGTTTTTCAAGTGACGTTAAGACCTGAAATTATATTTTGTAGATTGCTTGCCGAGGCAATTGTTCTTTTTACACCGAGTCAAGAGGAAGTTACTCTGGCAGTTACTCCGCTGAATTTTTGCCTGAAGAGTCCTCATGAGGAATCAATGGGTAAGAATTATATCTGTCATGGTGATGATGGATCACTACTTCCTTGCTGCTTTCTTGATTGCTAAGCAAACAGGAAGTATCAATGGCATACTATTTGTTCCTGCCTAAAAAACATAAAGTCTGGAACAATCATAGGAATTTTTGAGAATTACTAGAAGTTAAACAAACCAGTAATTAAAATATTTAGCTTTGAAACTCAGTTGTTTTAAGATTCGGTGATGGCTACTGAGGAAAATCTATTTTCAGTTAAAATTTTAAGGTCATTTTCTCATCCTTTACCATCCTTTGTGTTTAGCATGATGAAAAAGCAAGAGATCAGCAATCCAACTGAGTTGATCTTTGACTACATAAAACCTTGAATTGGAAATGCAAAATATTCATGATGGCACACATATCTAGAGCAGAAACAGTGAATGTTAAGCTGACTAATGGCTTAAGTCAGCTCTTCTAAGGGTTATGGAGAAGGAATGGCGAAGTTAAAACACCATTAAATCAGGATTTGGGGTATCATGAAAATCTTCTTGGGTCTGTCTGGCACAGCAAACTATTTCATACTCTTTGACGCTGGGTAATTTGTTTTCAGTGACAGCAGTGAAGAGAGAATATGAAAGAAGGAACTGGACTATTTTAAGTGAAAAACCAGTAGAACCAGGGCTTACATTGGATCAGATGACTTCTGTATGCTTAGTTCGTGCCAGGATCTGTTTTGAGAGTTTACATTTCTGAATTGATTTGATCTTCATAACGACTCTATGATGGGCACTATTATTATCCTCGTTTGACATATGAAGAAGTTAAAGTACAGAGAAATGATGTGACCTGCCTGGTGTCACAGGGAGTGGTAGCTTAGGATCTGAATATAGAAGCTGGGGCTCCAAGGTGCAGGTGCTGTTACTGCTTCCCTCCTCTCAGCTAGGGTGTTTGTTTGTTTGTTTGTTTGTTTTTGTTTTTTTTTGGCATCCAGGAGTGCATGATCTGGAAAATATGTGCTTGGCTCATGAAAGGGTCTGTTTTATGTTTCATTAAGCCATCTCTGAATAAAGATGGCCATTTAGTAACCAGGAGACGCTGTCCCTTGTGAATTGCTTTCTTAGGAGCAGCTATAGTTATGGTTGACTAGGGACCCAATGGCATGATCTTATCCTTGAACTTTTCTACATTAACACACTGGGAGGGACTGAGCCTTCTTCTTTGAATTCAATGTATATTTAAAGTGATGTTGGGTCCTTTTAGAAATGTATCATTTAACCCTTGTTCTTATTGCATATATAATTCGTGTTCATTGAAGAAAATTAAAAATACAAAAACATGCAAATAAAAAAGTCACCTGGGGCAGGCATGGCATAGCAGATTAAGCCACTGCCTGGGATGCCAACAATCCATATCAGAGTGCCTGTTCCAGTCTTAGCTACTTTGTGCCTCCAATCCAGCTTCCTGCTAATATGCCTGGGTGACAGTAGATGTTGGCCAGAAAACCTGGGCTCCTGCTACTTTTTAAAGGGATTTGTTTTATTTTATCTGAAAGGCAGAGTGACAGGGAGGGAGGCAGGGAGAAAGAGGGGAGAGGGAGGGAAGGGGGAGAGAGAAAGAGAAATATCTCCCATCCTCTGGTTCACTTGCCAAATGCCTGCAACACCCAGGTCTGGACCAGGCTGAAGCAGGGAGCCAGGAAAGCCATCCAGTCTCCCATGAGGTTGCAGGGGCCCAAGCAGCTGGCTGTTATCCACTGCTCTCCCAGATGCAATTAGCAGGAAGCTGATTGGAAGTGGAGTGGCTGGGACTTGAACCACCAAGTTATATGGGATGCCAGCCTTGCAAGCAGCAGCTTAACTCACTGTACCATGCTGGACCTGTGACATCTATTCTTTTTTTTTTTTTTTTTTTTTTTTGACAGGCAGAGTGGACAGTGAGAGAGAGACAGAGAGAAAGGTCTTCCTTTTGCTGTTGGTTCACCCTCCAATGGCCCCTGTGGCTGGTGCATCCTGCCGATCCAAAGGCAGGAGCCAGGTGCTTATCCTGGTCTCCCATGGGGTGCAGGGCCCAAGCACTTGGGCCATCCTTCACTGCACTCCCTGGCCATAGCAGAGAGCTGGCCTGGAAGAGGGGCAACTAGGACAGAACCCGGCGCCCTGACCGGTACTAGAACCCGGTGTGCCGGCGCCGCAGGGCAAAGGATTAGCCTAGTGAGCCGCGGCGCCGGCCCTTACATCTATTCTTAATTAAAACACTGAAGAACATGACAATTGGTGGGCATTTTCTTAGCATGATGAAATACAGGTATTTCAATATATTTAAAGCCAGTATCTTACGTAATAGATAAACACTAGTGTCATTTCCACTAAGGTCAGAAACAAAGTGAGGACAGATGTTACCTCCGTTACTGTTTAACATTGTATTAGAGTTGTCAGTCAGTGTAATTAGATACAAGGAGTCGCCGGCGCCGCGGCTCACTAGGCTAATCCTCCGCCTAGCGGCGCCGGCACACCGGGTTCTAGCCCCGGTCGGGGCGCTGGATTCTGTCCCGGTTGCCCCTCTTCCAGGCCAGCTCTCTGCTGTGGCCAGGGAGTGCAGTGGAGGATGGCCCAGGTGCTTGGGCCCTGCACCCCATGGGAGACCAGGAAAAGCACCTGGCTCCTGGCTCCTGCCATCGGATCAGCGCGGTGCGCCGGCCGCGGCGGCCATTGGAGGGTGAACCAACGGCAAAAGGAAGACCTTTCTCTCTGTCTCTCTCTCTCTCTCACTGTCCACTCTGCCTATCAAAAAAAAAAAAAAAAAAAAAAAAAGATACAAGGAGTCGATTAGAGGCATGTACAAATGACAGGATAGTGTGCTAACTCAAACAATAAAACAATTCATTAAGGTAGCAGAATATAACACAAATATGAAAAAATCAAATCGGTTTTTAAAAATGTTTATTTTTAGTTATTTGAAAGGGAAGGTGGGGAGAGAGAGAGAGAGAGAGAGAGTGAGTGAGTGAGTTAAGTGTCTTCCATCCACTGGTCACTCCTGAAATGCCTGCAGACAGCCAGGGCTGGGGCAGGCCAAAGCTAGGAGCCTGGAACTCTCTCCGGGTCTCCCACGTGTATGGCAGGGACCCGAGTACTTGAGCCTTTCTCTGCTGCCTCCCAGGATGCATTAGCAGAAAGCTGGACTGGAAGCAGAGGAGCTGAGACTTGAGCTGGCACTCTTACATGGGATGTGGGCATCTCAAGTGGTGATTTAATCCCACTGTGTCACAGTACCTGCCCCAGATAATTTTCATATACACAACCAATATTCAGTTAGAGGACATGATGATAGGAAAAAACACACTTACAACAGCAACAAAGAAGAATAGATGCCTTGGAATAAACAATAAATATAATAGAAATTAGTCCATAGCTATAAGGAAATATAACTTGCTGCTGGTTAGCACTAACAGACACAGGTGAGAAAATAAGACTTTTTCAGTAAAAATTTGCTCAGCTGAAGGATTGAAAATAAAGTTTGGTGGCTGGCACCACGGCTCACTAGGCTAACCCTCTGCCTGTGGCGCCAGCACTCCAGGTTCTAGTCCCAATTGGGGCACCGGATTCTGTCCCGGTTGCTCCTCTTCCAGTCCAGCTCTCTGCTGTGACCTGGGAGGGAAGTGGAGGGTGGCCCAAGTGCTTGGGCCCTGCACCCGCATGGGAGACCAGGAGGAAGCACCTGGCTCCTGGCTTTGGATCGGCGCAGCGCGCCAGCCGTGGAGGCCATTTGGGGGGTGAACCATCAGAAGGAAGACCTTTCTCTCTGTCTATCTCTCTCATTGTCTAACTCTACCTGTCAAAAAAAAAATAAAAAAGAAAATAAAGTTTGGTTTCCTAAGTGGGCCTTACCCATAGATGTAATTGTCATTCAAGAGCTTAGTGTCACAAAGTTCTCCTATATGATATTTTAGTTACTATATCTTTAGTATCTTTACTATATATATATATATATTTATATATCTTTACTATATATTTATAGCTTTACTATCTTGTAATGGAAAAGAACACAAAGAATATATGTGAATCAAAATTGTATTTTTGCCTTTCTCATTAGAAATTTTATTTACCTCAGATAAATTTAGATAAGAACTCTGGTATTTTACATAAATAGTTTGATTTATGTGGACTTGGAGCAGACCCTAAATTGCTGGGGAGTGCAAGAGGGATGTATAAATATTATATTGAATTTCTCATTTGAACAAAGATAATTAAAAATAGTATACAGATATTGAGGGGGCAGAAGGAAATGGGATACAGTCTGAGAGAAAAACATTATGTTTCCCCCTGTCCTTCAAATTCACCATTCTTTTTTTTTTTTTTTTTTGACAGGCAGAGTGGACAGTGAGAGAGAGAGACAGAGAGAAAGGTCTTCCTTTTGCTGTTGGTTCACCCTCCAGTGGCCCCTGCGGCCGGTGCATCCTGCTGATACAAAGGCAGGAGCCAGGTGCTTATCCTGGTCTCCCATGGGGTGCAGGGCCCAAGCACTTGGGCCATCCTTCACTGCACTCCCTGGCCATAGCAGAGAGCTGGCCTGGAAGAGGGGCAACTGGGACAGAATCCGGCGCCCTGACCGGGACTAGAACCCGGTGTGCCGGCGCCGCAAGGCAGAGGATTAGCCTATGAGCCGCGGCGCCAGCCATCCATTCTTTTTCAAAAACGGCTTTATGAGCTTTAATTCACAGAGCATGCATTTCATCCATTGAAGGTAGATAATTCAGATTCTAACAAATACTTTTAAATCTCAAAAACAGAAAGTAGACAATTCAGTGATCGTTAGTGTATTCACAGACCTTGTGCAATCATCATGATCAACTTCAGAGTATGTGATCATCCCTCTGCAGAATACCCATGCCCCTTAGCAGTCACTTTTCATTTCCTCCCAGCCCCAATCCCTGGCCATCACTGATCTGTGTTCTGTGTCTGGGGATCTGCCTGTTATGGTACATTTCTTATAAATATGAAGTCGCATATGTGAAATGTCCCTTTGTGTCTGGCTTCTTTCACTGATGTTTTCAAGGTTGTTCCATGCTGTAGTATGTATCTGTACTTTCTTTTTATTGCTGAATTATTCCTTGTATGGATACGCCACATTTGATTTATCTGTCTTTACCTCACTTGCTGGGCATTTTGACTGTTTTGCCTTTTGGTGTTTCTAATTAATGTGGCTGAGCATTCACATATACACTTTTGTGTGGATGTACGTTTTTACTTAACTTGGGTATGTACCAAGGAATACAATTACTAGGTCATATGGTGATTCTGTTGAGAACTTGAAAAAGTGCCAGACTGTTTTCCAAGGCAGCTACACTGCTCTACACTACTGCTGGCAGATTGTGAGGGTTTGGATTTCTCCACGTCCTCAACAATCTTGTTATTGTCTGTCTTTTGGACTGTTGCCGTGAAGTAGGTGTGAAGTGGTGTCTCATTGTAGGTCTGACTCGGCTTTTCCCAGTGATAATGATGTGGAGCACCTTTTCTTGTATTCATTGGTTATTTGTGTGTCTTCTTTGCAGAACTGTCTGTTCAAATCCCTTACCCATTTCTCACTTAGGATATAAAGAGCACATTGCCCCTTCCTTGACCCTTCCTCTCACCTCCCCCCAACCGGTTTCTTCCCTTTAGCTAAGACCCTTGGTGCCAAACCAGAGCCTTCCAGACTCCTTGCAAAGCAACTGGCAAAACAGAGAAGCTGCACAGATAAGAGGAAAGCTCCTAGAGGCTTCAAAGAGCCCCTGCCCTCCCGCCAGCTGCTTTCTACCTCCCTCCCGCCCCCAGTAGGGGCAAATTCCCTCCTTAATCAGATAAAAACCCAGCTGTCAGCACACCCAGCGTGCAGTCTTTTTGGAGACTTCGCCACCTCTTTGCTTCAATAAAGCAACCCGTGTCTGTTGAGCTGGGTCTCTGTCTCCTTTCTCCATCTCTCCTGGAGTAGGAAAGAACTCTGAGCTATTCCAGACCCCACTGGTTATTTGTCTTCTGAGTGTCCTGACATTAGCCCCTATCAGACACATGACTTGCAAATGTTTTCTCCTATTCTGTGGGCTGTCTTTATTTTCTTGATCATGTCCTTTGAAGCACAGAGTTTTAAATTTTTTAAAATTTATTTTTATTCATATTTGAAAGGAGAGTTAGAGTGATGAGGAGAGAGAGAAAGATCGATCTTCCATCTGCTGGTTCACTCCCCAAATGACTGCAACTGCCGGTGCTGGGCTTGTCCAAAGCCAGAAGCCTGGAGCTTGATCCTGGTCTCCCTCGTTGGGGCAGGGGCCCAAGTATTTGAGGGCATCTTCCACTGCTTTTCCCAGGCCATTAGCAGGGAGCTGGATGGGAAGTGGAGCAGCTGGGACTTGAACTGGTGCCCATATGGGATGCTGGCATTGCAGACGGAGGCTTAACATGCTATGCCACAGTGCCGGCCCCAGAGTTTTTAATTTTGATGGAATCATTCTTACTTGTTTTTCTTTTGATGCTTTTGGCACCTCATTCATTTTTAAATCATAAAATAATATGTAACTAAGGGCATAATAACTATTCCTTTGATTATCTTGGAATGTACATGTTAGGTTTCAAATGTCAGGGTTTGATCTGGCAATAGTTGTTGAGAAAAGTCTAATATAGAGACATTTACATAGTACCCCATAATTATGAGAGTATTTTAAAAAGTTCATGGAAAATCAAGTTAAAACATATCTATTTGATGCAAAAATGTTTGAAATACATCCATTTAAAATTATTTATTTATTTATTTGACAAACAGAGAGACAGAGACAGCTCTTGTCTGCTCTTCACTCTCTAAATGTCCTCAAAGCTGATACTGGGTGAGGTTGAAGCCGGGAACCGGGAAATCCAGGTCTCCCCTGCTGGGGTAGGAACCCAGGTGCTGAGCCATCACTGCTGCCTCCCAGGGTTGCATTAACAGGAAGCTGGAATCAGGAGCCAGAGCTGGGGAGTGAACCCAGGTACTCCCATGTGGGATGTCAGCGTCTTAACCAGTAGGCTGAATGCATTTCACAGACTTTTTGAAGACCTTTTATAAGCATGGATTTCAATGTTTTTTGCACCAAATAAACTTATCTTTTAATTTCATTTTACACGAACTTTCTCAAGCACCCTCGTATGTGCAGTTTTTATGTATGCCCGTCGAAGTGGCAGTCGTTCTTCTGCCATCTTTACTAAGGAGCTTCTCCCTCACAGTCCACATGAATCTTCACAGCAGTGCTGTTAACAACAGTCAGAGTGGAAAGCCAAATGCCTTCCATTCATGATGAATGAATAAACAAAACGCAGTCTGCTCACACAATGGAATATCATTCAGCCACAAAGAAGAATGAAGTATTGCTACATGTCACTGAACCTAGAAGACATGCCAAGTTACAGAAGCCAGGCAGAAAGACCACGTAATGCACAATCTGTTTACAGGAAATACTAGAAGAGGTAAACCCACAGGGACTGAAAGGAGAGGAGTGGTTGCCAGGGCCTGGGAAGAGAGTAGAAAGACGAGTAACTGCTAACAGGTGTGGGGTTTTGTGGGGAGCAACTCGGACTAGACTGTTACTCAAATTAAGACTTATTCTATGCATCTGCTCTCCCACAATATGGCGCTGGGAGAGGAGGAAACAGCTTCTACACAGCTGCCTCCAGTTCAACCAATAAACAGCAGGACCTGCTCCTGATTGGAGGAGAGCAGCGTACTCGGCGTGTGGGTAGCAGAGTTGGGATTGGTGGAAGAGGACTATAAAGGAGGAGAGAGACAACATGCACCAGGAACATCTATCTGAAGGAACATCTGTGCAGCCCCCGAGAAGAGAAGAGCCGGCCGGCGGTGTGCCGCTCCCCCGCGGAAGTGGGGAATGTGGCCAGGGGGAACCGCCCTTCCACGGAGGTGGAAGGGACGGTAGCCAACCCGGGAAGAACCAGCAGCAAACCCGGGAAGGGCCGAGCAGACGAAAGAACAGCGCAGGGTCCTGTGTCGTTCCTCCACGAAGACGGGGAGCGACATAATGGTGCCGTGACTCGGATAGGAAACCTAGGCAGGGTTTAGTGTCGTTCCTCCATGAAGAGGGGGAGTGACAGGGTTTCTTTCAGAGATGATGAAAATGTTCTGGAATTTGATAATAGTGATGGATGCATCACCTTTGGAGTGTATTAGAAGTCATTGAGTTATCACTTTAAAATGGTGAATGTTGGGGCCAGAGTTGTGGCCTAGCAGGTAAAGCCACTGCCCATGTGGGCACTGATTCATGCTCCAGCTGCCCCACTTCTGATCCAGCTTCCTGCTGATGGCCTGGAAAATCAGCACAAGATGGCCCAAGTACCTGGGCCCCTGCATCCGCATGGCAGACCCAGATGAAGCTCCTGGCCCTTGGCTTGGGCCTGGGACAATCCTGGCCATTGAGGCCATCTGGGAAGTGAACCAGCAGGTGGAAGATCTTTCTTCCCCTGTCCCCCCACCTCTTGTATCTCTTTCAAATAAATAATCTTCTTTAAGAAAAGGTAAATATGTGAATTATATCTCAGCTAAACTCGCTTTGTAAACTATTTTATTATTATTATTTTATTTATTTGAAAGAGTTACGGAAAGAGGTAGAGCCAGAGAGAGAGAGCGAGCCAGGAAGAGAGAAGAGAGTTCTTCCATTCACTGATTCACTCCCCAAATGAACACAACGGCCAGAGCCAGAGCTCGTGGGTTCAGGGGCTCAAGGACTTGGGCCATCTTCTACTGCTTTCCCAGGCCATAGCAGAGGGCTGGATCAGAAGTGGAGCAGCTGGGACTCGAACTGACGCCCATATGGGATGCTGGCCCCATAGGCGGTGGCTTTACCTGCTATGCCACAGCACCAGCCCCTAAGCTATGTTTTGTAATTTAGATTGATATATCTAATTTATCTGTTAATCATCTTTTTTGTTAATATTTTTGAAGTAAAATTGTATGTAATGAATTAAATAAAATATTAACACAGAAAATATTCATATATTATAGTTCCCTTTACAATACATTGGCTATTATGGTATTGTGGTCATTTATTGCTTATAACAAGCCACTTCAAAATGCTGTGGCTTAAGATATGACTTACCGTGATCTCTCATGCTTCTGTGGGTCCATGGGACTCAGCTGGGCAGTTCTCCCTTGGGGTCTCTCATGCACTTGTAGTTCAGCACAGGCTGGGCCTGGACTGATCTGCAGATGTGAAGATGGCTCACACGGCTCCTGGTTGGTGTGAGGAGCTCAGTGGGGCTGTTAACCAGAGTGCCTACACACAGGTGCCCTCTGTAAGCTGGCCCCACAGGACTGAGTTACAGCAGCACGTGTTGCAGAAGACAGGAAGTAGAGGCTGCCTATCTCTGACGGCCGGGCCCAGAACCGTGTGCCAGGCCACTTTGGCAGGCCCTTTGGTCAGAGCAGTCCAGCGCTCACCCACATTTAAGGACAAGGGACAGGCAGACATAGACCCCACCTGTCAATGAAGTACTATTAAAGAATTTGTAGCTTTATTGACACCCCCCCCCATTTACGGGTACATTTTTGTACTAAACAGTAAGTAAATACTTTGGCAACTAAATTTTGTCTTTATTTGCCTATATTATGAAACAGATTTGACCAACTCTGTGTACAGTGAGATGTTTGTTGGCCCAGATGAGTTTGACTTCTTTCAGATTGGAGTGGATACGGAAATAACATTTTGCATCAAAGAATTGAAGGTAAACAAGTAATTGTGTCAAATGAAAATCCAAATTTTCATTTTTTTTTAATAAAGACTTAAAGGTTTTTTTTTCTTTTTTTTTTCCCCAGGGGATGCTGATATTTTCAGAAGCTACACATGCTCCTATATCCATTCATTTTGATTTTCCTGGGAAGTAGGTCCTTGGAAACTTTTCCAAATTTGTTTCTTTTCTTTCTTTATATATCAGTAATAAACCCCCGTTGGTCACTGTGAACTTAATTCACACCTCAGGAATTGCTTGATTTTATTAGCAATAAAACTATAGCAAACTATAAAGTTTTGAAAGAAGCCATTAAGAGGGTGGTTTTGTTTTGTTTTGTGTGTGTGTGTGTGTGTGTGTTTAATTTGACAGGCAGAGTCAGACAGTGAGAGAGACAGACAGAGAGAAAGGTCTTCCTTCCGCTGGTTCACCCCCGAAATGGCCGCTATGGCTGGCGCGCTGCGCCAATCCAAAGCCAGGAGCCAGATGCTTCCACCTGGTCTCCCATGCCGGCGCAGGGCCCAAGCACTCGGGCCATCCTCCACTGCCTTCACGGGCCACAGCAGAGAGCTGGACTAGAAGAGGAGCAACCGGGACAGAATCCGGCACCCCGACCGGGACTAGAACCCGGAGTGCCGGCGCTGCGGGCGGAGGATTAGCCTAGTGAGCCAAGGTGCCAGCCGGAGTGAAACACTTTTAAGTTAAACACAGTGCTGATAAATTGCTTAATTAGAGCCATATTGGGGCTGGTGCTATGTTGCAGTGGGTTAAGCTGCTGCCTGCAGTGCTGGCATCCCATATCGGCACCTGGCTGCTCCACTTCTTTTTTTTTTAAGATTTATCTATTTATTTAGTTGAAAGTGAAAGTTACACAGAGAGAGGAGAGGTAGAGAGAGAGAGAGAGAGGTCTTCCATCCGATGGTTCACTCCCCAATTGGCCACAACGGCCGGAGCTATGCAGATCCGAAGCCAGGAGCCGGGAGCCTCCTCCCGGGCTCCCATGTGGGTACAGGGGCCCAAGGACCTGGGCCATGTTCTACTGCTTTCCCAGGCCATAGCAGAGAGCTGGAGCGGAAGTGGAGCAGCTGAGTCTCGAACCAGCGCCCACATGGGATGCTGGCGCCTCAGGCCAGGGCGTTAACGCACTGCACCACTGTGCTGGCCCCTGCTCCACTTCTGATCCAGCTCCCTGCTAATGCACCTGGGAAAGCAGCAGAAGATGGCTCAAGTGCTTGGGCCTCTGCAGCCACATGGGAGACCCAGAAGAAGCTCTTGGCTCCTGACTTCAGCCTGGCCCAGACCCAGTTGTTGCGGCCATTTGGGGATTGAACCAGCAGAGAGATCTATCTCTCTGTCTCTCCTCTCCCTCTGTAACTCTGCCTTTCAAATAAATAAATCTTCAAGAATATATTTATACAGGCCGGTGCTGTGGCTCACTAGGCTAATCCTCCGCCTTGCGGCGCCAGCACACCGGGTTCTAGTCCCAGTCAGGGCACCGGATTCTGTCCCGGTTGCCCCTCCTCCAGGCCAGCTCTCTGCTGTGGCCAGGGAGTGCAGTGGAGGATGGCCCAAGTCCTTGGGCCCTGCACCCCATGGGAGACCAGGATAAGTACCTGGCTTCTGCCATCAGATCAACGTGGTGTGCCGGCCACAGCACGCCGGCCGCAGCGTGCTGGCTGCGGCAGCCATTGGAGGGTGAACCAATGGCAAAGGAAGACCTTTCTCTCTGTCTCTCTCTCTCACTGTCCACTCTGCCTGTCAAAAAAAAAATATATATATATATATTTATACAGCGTAAACAAATTAAGTCTCTATGAAACCATACATATTTCAGAACTGAAAAGTCAAATGAGGTTAGGTTAAGATGTGTTTTATGAGATTTGTGATTTCCATAGGTCCATTCAGCTCTTAGGATTTGTGAAATTTGTGAAAACACAAAATTGATATTTAATTGTGCATTTTTTTTTACTTCAGAACAAAATATATATTTTTTGAAAGGCAGAGTTACAGAGAGAAGAGGAAAGATAGACAAAGAAAGAAATCTTTCATCCACTGGTTCACTCTCCCATGGCCACCAGGGCTGACGCTGGGCCAGGCTGAAACCAGAAGTCTGTACCTTCTTCCGGGTCTCCCACGTGGGTGCAGGGGCCCAAGGAGTTGGGCCATCCTCTGCTGCTTTCCCAGGCCATAGCAGGGAGCTAGATGGGAAGTGAGCAGCCAGGACTCAAACCAGTGCCCATATGAGATGCTGGCGTCACAGGTGGAAACTTAACCAGCTATGCCACAATGCCGGCCCCTAAAATATCACTTTCTAATGTGTTCCTAATCTCCGTCAGAAAATGAGTGTCGTTTTTGCTCTGACGTCTTTTCAGACCCATGGCTTTAAGTCTCGATGATATGTTATTGGAAGCAAACTTTATTCTGGCTACGTTGGATGACGGTCCCAGCAGGGCATCCTCGCCACAGTCATCACTGTGTCTTTCACAGACAGGAGGCAGGTAAGGCCGTGTTTTCATTTCCTTATTGGTTGGGCCAAACCACTGCCGTATGCTCCTGAGACAATCCAGTAGCATTCACTTAGGAAACAACAGAGTAGGGAAGCATTGAAGCCAGGAAATTTGACTGACTCCGGAGCTTCAGTGAGACCTACCTGGAATATGGAGCGCTCGCTGATCTTGCAGCCAATGTTTGTGTTTCCTCTTCTGAACAGAATCTTCCAGGAGTGTCTGGTGTATCTCTGTTACTGTGCAAAGACTCATTTCCAATTTTTAGCTGAGTTTTTTCCATCTTTGGAGCAATAGAGTTCAATTTCACTGGGCCTGTATTTACAACTTCAAACTCTCCCAGATGCAGGGGATATTGGGACAACCAATGTTTTTCTTTCTTATTTTTTCTTAAAAGTTCCTTTTGGGGGAAAGAGGGTTGCTTCACTGTAAAGTATTAGAAAGGGGGCCAGTGCTGTGGCACAGCTGGTTAAAACCCTGCCTGCAGTGCCAGCACCCCTTACGGGAGCTGGTTTGAGATCCAGGTGCTCTACTTCCGATCCAGCTCCCTGCTAATGCTCCTGGGAAGTGCAGTGGAGGATGGCCCAAGTCCTTGGATCCCTGCACCCACGTGGGAGACCCAGAAGAAGCTTCTGGCTCCTGGCTTCAGATCAGCTCAGCTCTGGCCATTGCAGCCATTTGGGGCGTGAACCAGTGGATGGAAGACCTCTCTGTCTCTACCTCTCTGTAGACTCTTTCAAATAAATAAAATAAATCTTTAGAAAAAAAAGTAACACAAAGTTAAAGTGAGAAATTTGGAAAATATGGAAAAGTACAAAAAAGAAAATAAAACTCACCCAATAATTATCCCACCTAGAGATAGCTTCTGTGAACATTTGGCTCACTGTGACTTTCAGACTTTTTATTTTGCATGTACCTGTATTTTTTAAAAAAGGTTTATATTTATTTGAAAGTCAGAGTTACAGAGAGGTAGAGGCAGAGAGAGAGAGGTCTTCCATCCGCTGGTTCATTCCCTAGATGGCCACAACAGCTGGAGCTGTGCTGATCTGAAGCCAGGAGTCAGGAGCTTTCTCCGGGTCTCCCACATTGGTGCAGGGTTCCAAGCACTTAGGCCATCCTGCACTGCTTTCCCGGGCCATAGCTGAGCTGGATTGGAAGTGGAGCAGCCGGGACAAACTGGTACCCATATGGGATGCCAACACTGCTTTACCCGCTATGCTACAGCACCAGCCCCTGTACTTGTATTTTGAAACAAGATTGAGAGGCAGGTGTTTAGCCTAATGGTTAAGATGTCCAGGTCTCATATCAGAGTACAAAGGGATTGAGGCCTGGCCCCAGCTCTTGCTTCCAGCTGACAATGCAAACTCTGGGCAGCAGCAATGATTGCTCAAGTAATTGGATTTTGCCACTCATGTGGGGGTCCTGGCCCCACCTTAGTCCAGTTCAGCCCAACCCCAGCCATTGCAGGCATTTTGGAAGTAAACCAGTGAATGGGCGCTCTGTCTGTCCATCTGCCTGTCTATTTGTCTCTGTCTTGCTCCCTCTCAAATTAAAACAAAAGATTGGGGTTATATACTACATGTAATTTTATATCCTGTCTTTTCATCATAAAATATATCATGGACATGTTCCAAATATTACTGATTATGACATGAAAGCATGATTTTTAATGACTGCATAAAATTTTATCACTTAGATGTATAGTAATTTATTTAACTTTTTACCCAACTTGGTCCTGTTATCCTATCACAGGATATCTCACCCATACTGGATTGCTTTACTGAAAGATTTGAATCATCAGGAGAATTTCCAAATGATTGTATACATGCATCTTAGCTTTCAAAAATTAGTTCTGTGCTATTTCAGTATTTTTCCTAAACCAGTACTATCTTTGTCCCCACGTTGCTCCCTTAGGTACATAAAAATGTGTTTATAAGTAAACAGTTCATTCATTTAATCCCTTTTAATACCTCAGGTCAGATCTGATACAGTCAAACTCCGAGGCCAGTAAAAATGTAACCAGCCAGGTCTCAGAGAATATCTCAAGAATAGCAACCGAAAAATTTCATCCCCATGTGACTTGCACACACATCTCTACGTTGGAAAACCGTGGTAGCCCTGTCATGACAGGGGTGAACGCAGACATCAGTGAAGTTCCAGAGAGCATTGTCAGTGACACAGAAGAAGGGCCAGGCTGTTCACACCTCAGGAAGGTAAGAGAAAAGGTCGAAACACAACCATGTGCAGGTCAGGAATTCCTATCAGCTGTCTCCTTTGCACTCTTGCTGCCCCAGCCCACCCCCAAGATCCTGAAAACCAAGTTCTTATTTTTTGGGAGGGGAGAGGTGAAGTCTCAAATAGAGAAAAGTCTGATTTACAGAATCTCAATACAAAGTAGTGAAATTGCTCAGTCAGTAATTTCTAACAAAGCATGTTCTAGAAGACATTTTGGTCACTTGTTTTCCAGAATGGATTATACTGTAGTCTAGTCTGTCTCTGAATACAAACTGTGTGAATGTTTGTGTCACACACATTGCGCTTACTTTTCCATAGGCAATAGCAAGTGGTCGTTTTCCTGTTGCTTCAGGTCCCTAACGGTCTTTAGTTTCCTCGCCAGGGCAAGGAGAGCTCAGGCCTGAACGCTCCAGGAGCATGAGTGGAACAATCTTTACTCCACGGTTCCGCCACATCCTTGCAGTTTAAAAAGGCTCTGTTGGAAAGAGCGAATTATGGCCTTGCTGTGACAAACTCTTGTGAAGCTGAAATTACGTGATGAGTCAGTGGTCAGGTTCCCCACAAACCGCTCTGAGCCTTTGGCTGGCCTTCAGGCCTGTTCTCCACTCCCAGTTCTCTCCACAGTGTACACTCATAGACTGTGTCCAAGCATTGGGGCTACAGGGAGGCAGCGGGGTCAACGCTCTGTCTTGCCACTGACTGGCTCGGTGACTTGGCTATGTTACTTAGCAGTTTCCTTATCAGTAAAATGAGGATAATAATTATACCCATTAAATGGAATTGTAAAAATTAATTGAGCTAATATTTTTTTAACAGAGTTAGACAGTGAGAGACAGAGAGAAAGGTCTTCCTTCTGTTGGTTCACCCCCCAAATGGCTGCTACGGCCAGTGCGCTGCAGCTGGCGCGCCATGCCAATCTGAAGCCAGGAGCCAGATGCTTCCTCCTGGTCTCCCATGCCGGCGCAGGGCCCAAGCACTTGGGCCATCCTCCACTGCCCTCCCAGGCCACAGCAAAGAGCTGGACTGGAAGAGGAGCAATTGGGACAGAATCTGGCGCCCCACCGGGACTAGAACCTGGGGTGCCAGTGCCGCAGGCAGAGGATTAGCCTAGTGAGCCATGGTGCTGGCCCTGACCTAATATTTGTAACTGGCACATAGTCAAATTCTCCAGAGAAATTACTGTTCCGTGTCACTCTTTTTTTTTTTTTGACAGGCAGAGTGGACAGTGAGAGAGAGAGACAGAGAGAAAGGTCTTCCTTTTGCCGTTGGTTCACCCTCCAATGGCTGCTGCGGCCGGCGCGCTGCGGCCGGCGCACCGCGCTGATCCGATGGCAGGAGCCAGGAGCCAGGTGCTTCTCCTGGTCTCCCATGGGGTGCAGGGCCCAAGCACCTGGGCCATCCTTCACTGCACTCCCTGGCCACAGCAGAGAGCTGGCCTGGAAGAGGGGCAACCGGGACAGAATCCGGTGCCCCGACCGGGACTAGAACCCGGTGTGCCGGCATCGCTAGGCGAGGATTAGCCTAGTGAGCCGCGGCGCCGGCCCTGTCTCTCTCTTGATAGCCATTTTGATGCTAGTGGCATTCGTATCATAATGCCTTATTTATGTGCTGGACTATTTGTTAACTTCTCATTTTAAAATTAACTTCAGACTCTTAAAAGCTTACAAAGTAGGCTGGCGCCGCGGCTCAATAGGCTAATCCTCTGCCTGTGGCACCAGCACCCCGGGTTCTAGTCCCGGTTGGGGTGCCAGATTCTGTCCTGGTTGATCCTCTTCCAGTCCAGCTCTCTGCTGTGGCCCGGGAAGGCAGTGGAGGATGGCCCAAGTGCTTGGGCTCTGCACCCATTTGGGAAACCAGGAGAAGCACCTGGCTCCTGCCTTCGGATCAGTGCAGTGCGCCGGCCGCAGTGGCCATTGCAGGGTGAACCAACGCTAAAAGAAGACCTTTCTCTCTGTCTCTCTCTCTCTCACTGTCCACTCTGCCTGTCAAAAAAAAAAAAAAAAAAGATTTTGGGGGTGGGCTCAGCTTCGGTTAAGATGCTACATGGATGCACACACCCATGCCAGCGTGCCTGCACTCGCGTCCTGGCTCTGCCCCGACTCCAGCTTTCTGCTAATGCACACTCTGGAAGGCAGCTGTGTCGGCTCAACTACTTGGGTCCCTGCCACCATGAAAGAGGCCTGGAGTGAGTTGGCTCCCAGATTCAGCCTGGGGCAGCCCTGGCTGTTGCAGGCATCTGGGGGAATGAACCAGCTGATGGAGAATCTGGCTCTGTCTCTTCCTCTCAAATAAATAACTAACCAAAAAAGCATTTTAAGAAGAAAATTTCTATTTCCTGCCACCCAGATTCCTTAAGTGTCAGCATCCTGGGTGAGCAGAATCCCGTCAGCCTGGAACGTCCTCTGAGTCTTGCTTTGTGTGTCTTTGCCTTGATACTGTACAGCGCCCTGAATGTGGAGCTTTCTGAAGTTCCCTCGTGATGAGAGCTACAGCACGAGCTTTTGCTGAGATCACAGCAGCAACGCTGGTTCTTCCTGTACATCGTACCTGGGCCCCCTGTTGGGGATTGGACTCCTCGTTGACATTATTAATTTCTGTCACATGGCTAAGGTGGTTGTCAGATCTGTCCTCTGAGATCAGTGGACACAACAGACACAGTGCAAACTAACCTATTTTTATATCTATTTGTACGCTTCCATTAGAACCCATGAGTTTATACTAATATGTCCAGTTTTTTTAAGATTTATTTATTTATTTGAGAGGTAGAGTTACAGAGAGGGAGAGACAGAGAGAAAGGTCTTCCATCCACTGGTTCACTCCTTAAATGGCCCCAATGGCTGTAGCTGAGCCAATCTAAAGCCCGGAGCTTCTTCCGGGTCTCTCATGTGGGTACACAGGCCCAAGCACTTGGGCCATCTTCTACTGCTTTACCAGGCTGTTACCAGAGAGCTGGATTGGAAGTGGAGCAGCCAGGACTTGAACCGGTGGCATATGGGATACTGGTGCCACAGGCAGAGGCTTAGCCTACCATGCCACATTGTTGGCCCTGATAATGTTCAATTACAATCCAGTACTGTAGGGTTCATGCCTGCCATCCCCCTTTATTTTATTATTTATTTATTTTTTTGACAGGCAGAGTGGACAGTGAGAGAGACAGACAGAGAGAAAGGTCTTCCTTTAGTGTTGGTTCACTCCGTAATGGCCGCTGCAGCCAGCGCACTGCACTGATCTGAAGCCAGGAGCCAGGTGCTTTTCCTGGTCTCCCATGGGGTGCAGGGCCCAAGCACTTGGGCCATCCTCCACTGCACTCCCTGGCCACAGCAGAGAGCTGGCCTGGAAGAGGGGCAACCGGGACAGAATCCGGTGCCCCGACTGGGACTAGAACCCGGTGTGCTGGCGCCGCAAGGCGGAGGATTAGCCTAGTGAGACGCGGCACCAGCCCCCCCCCCCCTTTTTTTTTATTTTTTTGATAGGTAGAGTGGACAGTGAGAGAGAGAGACAGAGAGAAAGGTCTTCCTTTGCCGTTGGTTCACCCTCCAATGGCCGCCGCGGCCGGCACGCTGTGGCTGGCGCACCGCGCTGATCCGATGGCAGGAGCCAGGAGCCAGGTGCTTCTCCTGGTCTCCCATGGGGTGCAGGGCCCAAGCACTTGGGCCATCCTCCACTGCACTCCCTGGCCACAGCAGAGAGCTGGCCTGGAAGAGGGGCAACCGGGACAGAATCCGGTGCCCCAACCGGGACTAGAACCCGGTGTGCCGGCGCCACTAGGCGGAGGATTAGCCTAGTGAGCCGCGGCGCCGGCACCCCCCTTTATTTTTTACAACTCCTTTCTCTGAAGATGAGAAACTTGGATTTCTTATTATCCTGTTTACTTATTGGTCAGCCCTACAATGCAGACTTCTGAAGTGTTATTTCATACCCTGGTGAAGAAGTAGAAGTACCGATAAAGTGTGTATTCGCATGTTGATTTTCAAAGTTACTGGGGTGAGTTCTTTTCTTTCCACTCGTATTTCACTGGTTATGTTCATCATCTATAATTGAGTTAGCATTGTTTGCTTGTTTGGTTCTCCCCAAATCCTTGTTGAGTTCAACATGGTCCTACAAGTCAGAACTACACACAAAGGCCTGTGTAGCACAGGTGCACACACAGCAGGTGTGTGAGTGCAGGTGCGGAGTGTACACAGCACGTACAGCACGTGCCCGCGGAGCAGCAATGCGCACTCCTGTCCTAGCCCGGGCCCCTCGCAGAGAATGCATCTCCTTAGTTTCTTACCACTTCTGTGTTTCTTTTTGCATGCAGGAGCATTTTTTTCATTTTTCCTTTCTTATAAACGCTGTTTCCCACTTTGCATTTTTCCCCATTTTATTTGAAAGGCAGAGAAAGCAAGGGAGAGACAGATCTTTTGTCTGCTGGTTTGTTTGTTCCTCAAATACCTACAAACACCCAGGGCTGAGATAGGCCAACACAGGAGCCTGAAACTCAGTCTGGACCTCCAACATGGGTGGTGGGGAGCCCCACACGTGGGCCTTCATTTGCTGCCTCGCAGGGTGTGCGTCAGTAAGCTGGGTCAGAGGTCAGAGCTGGACGAGCTCTGATACGGGATGCGGGCACCCCGGGTGGCGCACCAAACACTGGCCCTTCCGCTTTGCTTTTTGCACATAACAGACTACACTAGCAATTGCTCCACACCGCTGTCGCTACTCCCTAGTGGCGGCTTGGATTCCACGGGTGAGTGGAGCGTTTCATAAAGTCCGCCAGCCTCCCACGTGTGGGCCTTTCGATGTGTCACCCCAGTGTTTTGCAATCACAAACACAGCTGCAGTGAGTGACCTTTATGTGACCTTCAAGGTAAATCCCTAAAAGCAGAACAGCCGTCCAGGAGGTGAATGCAGACAGAGTGGTGTTTTTTTTTTTTTTTTAGATTTATTTATTTAAAAACCAGAGTTAGATAGAGAGAGCCGCTGGTTCACTCCCTCAGTGGCCACAATGACCAGGGCTGAGCCAAGCCGAAGCCAGGAGCCAGGAGCCAGGAGCCAAGAGCCAGGAGCCAAGAGCCTTTCTGTGGTAAATCCTTTACCCAGCTCAGTCTGTGCCTCTGCTTTTTGGTCCTGCTGAGTGCGAGCTCAGCACCCACCGTAGGAGAGTCAGTATCCCTTGGTGGATTTTGTCAAATTTTTTCCCAGATATTTTTAAAGATAGATATTAAATTTGAACTTGAATATCAATTTTGGCTCCATTAAGAAGGTCTGAGTGCTTGGAACTTCTGTGAACTAGGGAAGCCGGGCACCGTCTGGTGCTGCCGTTGTGTCCGGGGCCAGGTGAGGCCGCTGTGCCCGTCAGGAGTGCCCCTGGTTCTCCTCCAAGAGGCCTTGCATGGGGACGTTCACTGACCTCCGCTGCTCCGGGCAGTGGCTGTCTCTCCCACTACTGCGCTTGTTTTCTGGTGTAGAGTTCACAGCCTGCTGCCTTGCTGGATTATTTTGTTGTTGCCGTTAGTTTGCCGCCGACTCCACTCTCAGGGTTTTCAGGCGCACTGTCTTCTTTATGCAGAGATGGCTTGACTTACACCGTAATGCCGCCGCCACTCGCCACTCACTCCCTTGTCCGTGTGACACTGAGTAGCAGGGGAGGGGGCCAGTGGCCAGGGACCGCTGTGCTCGGTGGGGGTCCTGCCCTTGCCCTCACAGCCTGGGCCTGGGATGCTGTCTCTCTTCTCCCCCTTCCACTGTAACTGGCACAGGAGTATTCCACTGCATTTGGCCCGAGGGTGCCTCCTTTCTGGAGGCCCACCAAGCAAGCAGACTACATCCTAGCCTGGCAGTAAACTGACCACGAGACAAGCAGCCGAGTCGCAGCCAGGTCTTGGCCGAGGTGCGGGTGAGCACTGATGAGATGCGGCAAAGGTGAGCTGTGCCCGGCCCCGCCGTCCTGTGCCTCCCTCCTGTGTCCGTCCAGACGCCGCCGGCCCACGGTGCACCCGAGCTCTGGTTCTGAGGCTGCCTGGCACACGGGTAGATTTGCTCAGCGGAAGCCTAGTAAGTTGAACTCGCCTTAAGATTTTCCTTTTAGCTACAGTATATGTTCTCGCGACTCCACGGGCAGACTGGGAGCTGCTGGAGTGCCGGCTTGCTCTTCGCCGGCTCTGTCCCGGGGCGGAGCCAGTGCCGGGCACCCCTCCTGCCCTGGCTGGGGAGAGTCTAAGAAAGGTTTCAGAATCTCCCCAGTGGTGTCACAGGTTCCAAAATCAAATCAACTTTAGGTGCCTTTTCTTCAAGAGGAAACGTATGGCACGTGTGCTGCTTAGGGACAGCTTTCCAAGCCCGCTATGCTACAGGACTGTGCGTCTTTCCACTGCAGTGCCCAAAATGAGGACAGTGTGTATGTTAGTGTTAGGATTATTAGATTTGAAAGGCAGGGAGAGAGAGGAAGAGACAGACACACGCAGAGAGAAATCTCCCATCCACGGTTCACTCCCCAAATGCCTGCAACAGTCTGGGCTGGGCCAGGCTGAAGCCAGGAGCCCAGAACTCCATCCAGGTCTCCTGCGTGGGTGCAGGGGCCCAAGGACTTGAGCCACCACTGCTGCCTCTCAGAGTGCGCCTCAGCAGGAAGCTGGAATCGGCAGCAGAACTGGGACTCGAACCCAGGTGCTCCGATCCCGGATGTGGGCACTGCAGGCAGTATCTTAACGGCTGTACCAAGTGCTCCAAGATGTACAATGGTTTTTTACGATTATTAAATTAATTTCTCTTAATTAACTCGTATTGGACATGCAGCTAATTCTGAGTTGCGTGCACATGAGGAGGGCTCTGTCACCCTGCCACATGGGATTTAAAGGCGAAGAGCAGGAGGCAGCGACCGGGGAGCAAACGGCCTTTCCCCGAAGCCAGCTCTGACCGCCCCAAGCAACCCAAGCTTTCTGGTCTCGGCACCACACACATTCGTAAGGCTTCTGCCTGGGATGGCGAGGACGGGATGTGGGTGCCTGGCTGGGGTCGTTTCTAGCCTCAGGGCCTGACCTTGAGGGGCTGCAGGGAAGCCCCTGCCTGGACACAGCCTGGGCTTGGGCCCTGCCCCTGCTTCCCACCCTGCTTCCTGCTGCTGTGCGCCCTCACCCTGGGAGCAGCAGGGATGGCTCCAGTACTTGGTCGCTGCCCGCACATGGGAACCCGCATCGTGTCCCAGGCTGTTAGCTTCTCAGCCCAGCCCAAGCTGTTGCAGGCATCTGGGGAGCGAACTAGCAGATGGGAGATCTGTCATGCTGCCTCTTAAATAAGTAAAAAGTAAGTGAAACTTAAAAACAGACTATTCAGAGGCAACGGAGTGTCGGCCTGCAGCTATGACCCCTGCCCGGAGTTCGCTCCCTGATGCTCCCGTGACTAATTACCACAGGTTTTAGTGGCATCAAACACCACAAATGAGTTACCTTACAGTTCTGAAGGCCGGAAGTCTGAAGTGGGTCTCGCAGGGCTGCGCTCCTCCCAGGAGGCTCGGGGAGACCCGCTCCTGGCTTTCCAGGGTCTCCAGCCACCGGCATCCTCGCTCGTGGTCTGCTCCCACCCTGCAGGTCAGCAACTTCCGTCCCCCCATCAGTTCACTCTGCCCTCCGCAGGTTAAGGGTCCCTGGGGTTGTCGGGCCCCCCTGGCTGGCCCACAGCCGCCGTCAGCACAGGAATTCCACCTGTGACCTGAACCCTGCTGTAACTCAAGTCCCAGTGTGCACAGGGTCAGGGCTTAGGACTGGGGCATCTCAGGGCCCATGATCCTGCCCACCACACCCAATTTCACAGCAGGTTGGGGTTTTCTATCTGGAGCAGAGTCCAGCAGCGACCGGCAGGGCTGCCCTCTTTGAGGGGACATTGTCACCTCCAGAACACGAGCATGACCAAAAACAGGAAGCTGCAGCATTTGGAGGGAAGATGCCAGCGCTGGCGCCCCACATCGCTGCAGTGTCAGCCCACAGGGCCCAGCGCGAGGCTGGGGAAGCCTGCTTGAAGGCTGGCTGGGAGCGGCCAGGAGCACGGGGCAGGAGGGCTCGAGGTGTCGGAGTGAGTGTCCAGTGGAGGAAGACTAAGACCCGGAACTGGCCCTAAGGATGTGGCCATTTTTGGTGGAGGGGTCAGAGCGATTTGAGAGCAGGAGAATGAGAAAAAAGGCACCGGCAAGTGCGGCAAGTGCAGCCGGCTCCGTGGGGAGCCTGGGAAGTGCTCGGTCGGATCCAGCGCAGAGGCACGGGGTAGGGGGGCAGGGCTGGGGCCTGGAAGGGGGCTTCTGTCATAGCAGGAGGGAAGGCGGCTGGATCAGCTCCGCTTCCCATCTGGGTGGGCACACAACGCGCCCAGGCCAAAGGCTGACCGCCCTGTGCCTCTCAAGCCAGGGGAGGGCTTCCCTTTAGGGCGTGCGGGGCAGCAAGAAAGTTCTGGGGTCCCGCGAGGACCCGTCACCGCCGACGACAGGGCCAAGTCAGCGTTCCATCAGCAGACTTGCACTGCGCGGTCACCAGCGCCGTCCCTTCTTCCCTTCCAGTTCTCCTGCATGTTCTTTGGAGCCCTTTCCTCTGACCAGCCAGAACACATCAGTCACCCTCTGGACAACGTGGCAACAGCCAGCGACAGCGAAGAGGACACACAAAATGGCAGTTCCTTCTTATTCTAAAGCGATGGAAGCTAAGCCAGCCCCGCCGTCACTGGCCCGCGGGCGCCTCCGCAGTGTCTAAGACCTTGGCCTGGACTTCTGGAGACGGATCCACGACAGCATCTGGTACAAGCTTCCCCACAAAGCCGCATGTCAAGGGGACGCGCTTTGCTTTGCCGCCATCACGCTACCTGGGAGGCGTGGCTGCTTTCTGTGTGGACAAAAAGCCCAGAGTTCAAGCCCCACCGGGAGCTGCCGGTCACCTGTCTTTTGTATTTGACTGCAAGCATTCAGGTTTGGGCGCTGTGGTGTTTTCCTTTTGAACATTGTTCCTTATAGTCTGAGACTTTAAGTAAAATAACCTGCGCGCGGGGGGGGGGGGGCGGTGTCTAAAAAAAAAAAAGTCTCTCCCTCACTTTGCAGTCTTTCTCTGTATTGTAAAATTTTGATCGCAGCCTAATTGTTCTGACTTACCAGATGTGATTTTTTAAATCTTCGGTGTGAATTTTTTTGTTTTTATTTATTTACTTACTTTATAGAAAGCTTTTATTTAATAAGTATAAACTTCCTAAGTACAGCTTCTGGATTATAGCAGTTTCGGTGTGAATTTGACGCAAGTGAGGCCAACACTTCCGTGTCATGCGACACCAGACAGCGACCTCCTCCTGCCAGGAGAGTTTGGGAACGGAGCAGAGCGAGTGGCAGGCGAGGTCTGTCCTTTGTCTCAGCTTCTCACCTGCACAGACTACAAAACAGTTATGTAACAGGCTACGGTGTGCCTCCCCCTCCCCCAGGCCTGTTTACAGTCAGCTGTAACCCGACAGCCGAGACTTACTAACGTCTCACTGTTAAGTCTTTGTGAAAGCAGCAAACCGTCAGGAAGTGGCAAACGACTGGACTTCACTCTGCAAAATTCCTAAGGCGGCTGATTGGATCGGTACGCTTTAGGGCTGAAACAGAACGAATCTGGCTCTTGGAGCTTAGTAATGAGTCATAGCTACCCACAATAATCTAATAAAAACGCAAGTTCATCCCAAGATGTTCCTCAGTGAATGGAAATGGGCTTTCACCAAGCTCTGTGTGGAAACTGGCAAGGCCCACGTAATTTCAGTGACGCCCTCCACACGGTAGGCTGCAGCCTGCTGTAGCTTACTCCTACGACGGATCACGGACGCAGGTGACTCCACGGAGAACTTGCGGGCACCAGAGTGCCTCAGTGGATCTTAATGAGGACGAAGTTTTTGGTTTGCTCATCAAGTTGTGGGGTTTAAGTGGTGAAGGCACAGCTGGGATACAGAGGCCCTGTTCCGTATGCACTGTGGACTTCAGAGCTTGGACACCAAATGCGAAATTCACAGAGACCGCACTTTCGGGGGGCAGCTTTACTCTAAACCATTTCAAAGGTGTAGATCCTGGAAAGCCTAGGTGATTTATATTCAGTCCCCAGCCATTTTGATGCATGGAAGAAATGGGCCGGGGGAAAAGAGCCACAGTGGCTCAAGTGGGAAAGCTGGACGGGAGCAGCTGGGAAGTGCGGTCACCACGAGCCCCAGAGTCCTTGAGACCACCGGGCGCAATGGCAAGGCCTGTGTCTTGGCCACTGTTCAAACCAAAAGAAGTACACAGATTAGTATAAATACTATTATTTATTAAATATCTTTACAGTTTATTTAAATGTATTTACAGAACTATTCCTGCATAAGTTATAATATTTCAGACATCCAATTCAGGTAATTGCCTCTTGGGTAAGACAAGTAATGATAGTCTCAACAGAAAAAAGCAGCTCATTAGTACACAGACTCCAACTGGCTTCATTATTTAGCCATCTTTGCCACAAACTACCTGCTACGTTAAAATGTTGACATGGACACTCTTGAGAAGTTGAATTTTGCAAATATTTTTACAAATTGAATCCAAATACTTTCTGCTTCTATGCTTTGTTTTATTTTTTATGCTTTGTTTTCTAAGCAGATTTGTTTGGAATCTGTAAAACTTGTTAAGTGCAAAAACGTGATACAGTTTCCAGAGAAACTGAATGCCGTGGCTTCCACCAAAGATAGCTGGTATAAGGTGTCAAGGAACCTTGAACTCATCCAAAAGTACAGACATTTACAGTTCCAGCCAGTCCTGTTCACAGTCTCCAAAACCACTCCAAACTTCTCCCCTCCTGCGGTGTTCCTTGGTGTGGCGGGCTGGTGGCACTGAGTGATTCCCGTCCCGCGGCCGCTGACGGGCGACGGCACACTGCCATCACGCAAGGCTTGAAATTTGAGTTTCTAATCTAGACAGAGCCCAGCCCCCAGACATGCACACCTGGAATGGATTCTTTGTGATTGAGTACCCATCAACCATGTCAAGTGAGTCCAGTAATCAGGACAAATCGCTTGTTTTCCCCTTCATTTCTTCTCTCCGTTTTTAAGAGCCTAGGGACTCTACTTCATCTCCATTTGGTAAATTTTGTTTTTGTGCGCAGGCAGCTTAAGTTCATAGGAAGAAATAAGGTTCTGATATGTTTAGAGTGCACATTTTAAAACAGAACAAAATAAAAATTTCAAGCATGTGATAAAAATATTGATTTTTTTATAATACAGTATTGCTTTATAAATATAGATGGAAAAGCTATAAACTTTACTGGTCTTTGGTGCATCCAGAGGGATAGATAATTTGCCATTTGTAAATTAGAAATCCAGATTTTCTCTTTTGTTATAAAAGTCCATTATGTGAGGCAAATGTGTGTGTTTACACTGCTTGCTTGAAAACACAATTGACACACACACTGAGTTCAGAATCACAGCCGCCAAGTGGTGTAGCTCTGTCACGCCGTGGAAGCTTGGGTCTGTGACCTGGGAAAATTCTGTGGGTCCCACATAGCCTCTGGCCACCGAGAGCAGGAGAGTTACTTGTAAACAGCACTCCCACCCATCCCTTGCAGTCATAAAATTAAGTGCATAACACAAAAAGGACAGGGGGCCGAAATAAAACAGAGAAAATACTCTATGTCACTAATCTACAGGCCAGGTTCAAGGTCAATTCCACCGTGCAACTCAATTCTTGTCCCACTTTTTCAGTGTCACTGGAACAGAAAGACACATTGCCGTTTTCCAACAATCATTTCTTTAAAAAGTAAGCTTGATTAAGTGAGTTGTAGAAACCACCAATCTAGCTTTAGGAAGATTGTGTTCGATGGGTTAAATGAGAGCAGAGCAAAGCCAGTAACTTGACCAACACTGCTCTCTTACCACTAATTAAATGTAGGCATTGGAAAATTAATGCAAAATATATCCAGATCATAAGGCTGCGTACCTCTGACCAAAAATAATTAAAAACCTACTAAAAAAAGCTGAAGTCACCAGTCCGAGTTTAAAGGTGTTCCTTCTAACAAAACCCTTCCGCATGCAACTTTCTTTACTTTCTAAATACACCGAGACTGCAAATAGTATGTGCAAAATAAACCCCGCACCGCCGCTCACGCTGCCCTCCCCCTGGCGTGAGGACTGCCCTCACGCGGTCTCCTCCCGCACCCCACCCCCCTTCTCTCCCGAAGAATTCTCTTTTGTCAAGTTAGGGTAGTTAAGGCATTCTGACATGTAATTAAAGATGATTCAAAATACACACCTAACATTACGTCAATTTAGGAATAGTAGATAAATTACTGAACGGCTTACAAATGAATAACTCATTCTTATAAATGAAATGCCTGTTACAAGCATGATGCACTGAAATATAGTAATGACATGTACATGGTACATGTTAAACAATTTTAAATAAAACAAAAGCTCGACAGTTACTCAAATATACAGTACAAATTCACAAAACAAAATCTTTTAAAACAAGTTGAGGTAACCTCAAACGTAAGTGTGAATGCAACGACCCAGGGAGTCAGCATCTCCTCGAGAGAAGCCTTGCTCAGTTCCCCGCCAGTAGATTCATATCAGGTTCCATTGCATTCCCATCTACACACCAGCGTTACCTGACTCATATGTATAAAACATGGCTTTAATTTAAGGATTTCTACATATATATATTTTTCTACCACCAAGTTAATGAAGGGAAAAAACTGACCCAAAAATATATCTCTTTACAGCAGTCAACGTGTACACAAACCTTAAAATAAGTCTGAGCTTGCAGATCATGGGAAAACCGGATGTGGGGTGGTTTTGTAAGGGACTACACGCTGCAGAATGGCTATTCGGAAACTGTAAACATTAAGCTCGATTCAGAAACCCCTAAACTTCTGCTGCGGGCAACTGCGAATGTCAGATCCTCCCTAGGAGTTTTCCTCGTGGACTTCCATGCTGCCGCCACGTGGACTCGCTGACTTTGGCGCACACTCTAGAGAAAGCAAAGCTCCTAGTCAGAGGTCTGAGGAAGACTGGGTGGCACGACCATCAGAAGCCAACCAAAGCCAAAGTTACAGTTGGCCGTTCCCACCCACTGCACCTGCAACTCCCACATTATCAGACAGCCGGGCAGGAAGCTCAGCAGAGGCTCTGAGGGAGGAGGCTTCCCCACCCCTCGCTGTCGGCCATCAGCCTGTGGTTTGGACTAATCTACAAACTGCCAAGACTTTAGTCACAGGAACACAGTAAGCATCTTTTTAAAAGCACAAAATATTTGCATCCATAGAACTAAAATGAATTTTCCTTTCAATCGGTAACACAAATGCTGTCGGGATCAAGATGTTACAACCCACAGCAACGTTTTAGAGCAGTTATAAGCTCCTGAAAAATAGGAGTCTACAATGAGCAGAAAGCCACAGCCAGTCATCGGGACAGAGTATGGCCGGAGGACACAGTGACACTTCTCACGAACGGTGTAGAAGTTTTCTAAATGTATCATTACAATGCGATCTGTGTAAGACCTAGAATCCCTTTAACACACTAATTTTGAACTCACTTTACCAACATTACTCACTTTCAAAACTTCAGCTGCTTTTGAAAAGTAACAGCCTCTGTAAAAGTACCAGGCTGTGGGAACTCCACGAGAAGGCCCACCGTCAGGTCGGAACCCCCTTGCAGCTGCCGCCGGCAGGCGTGAGCTGGTGAGTGACAGCAGTGGTTCTCAACAAAGATCTCGACGGGTCTCAGGAGACAGGCACAGGCTCATCACTGGCCGTGGAGATCAGTGGCAAAGACGCAGTCCCGCCAGCAGGATCAGCACACACGGCAGGGAACACTGGACGACAGCAGGAAAGGCAGAGGCCGGCCCCTCGGAGTCAGTCTGTGTACTCGGCCACTATTGACAGGAGGACGGTGATGTCATCTGGCTTCCCACCTAAAATGAAAACCAAGACAGATCAGTATTTCTTTTAAACGTCGTGTCAAAATCTGAAGGCAGAGAGACAGAGACAGAGAACTCCCAATCACTGGCTCACTCCTCAGATGCAACAGCCAGGGCCAAAGCAAGGAGTCGGAACCCAATCCGGGTTCCCCACAGGGGTGGCAGGGACCCAGGGACCTGCCGTCTCCCTGAGCGCGCATTAGCAGGAAGCTGGATTCAAGCAGAACGGGGACCCGGACTGGGCCTTCCAGTCCAGCTGCCAGCACCGCGAGCTGCATCTTAACCCCTGTGCAAACGCCAGCACCCAGATCAACAGATTTTAACAGGAAAACTCAATAAAAATACATGCTTAGGGGCAGGCATTCTGCACAGCAGCTAGACCATCACTTGGCACGCCCCCCTCCTACAATGGAGTGCGTCGGTTTGAGTCCTGCTCCATTTCTGATCCAGCTTCCTGCTGATGTGCATCCTAGCAGTCAGTGGGTGATGTTACTGGAGTCCTGCCACATGTGTGGGAGACCCACGCTGGAGCTCTGGGCTCGTGGCTTCTGCCTGACCAGTCTCAGCTGCTGCAGGTATTTGGGGAGTGAAACAGTCGATGGAAGATCAATCGATCTCTCTCTTTCTCTCCCCCTTGCACATAAAATGAAAATCAATTAAAAAAATATTTAAAAAACATGCACGGCCGGCGCCGCGGCTCACTAGGCTAATCCTTCGCCTTGCGGCGCCGGCACACCGGGTTCTAGTCCCGGTCGGGACGCCGGATTCTGTCCCAGTTGCCCCTCTTCCAGGCCAGCTCTCTGCTGTGGCCAGGGAGTGCAGTGGAGGATGGCCCAAGTGGTTGGGCTCTGCACCCCATGGGAGACCAGGGGAAGCACCTGGCTCCTAGCTTCGGATCAGCGCGGTGCGCCGGCCGCGGCGGCCATTGGAGGGTGAACCAATGGCAAAGGAAGACCTTTCTCTCTGTCTCTCTCCCTCACTGTCCACTCTGCCTGTCAAATATATATATATGCACCTAAATAAGTACTAGAAATAAATGCTGCATTTCTGGCAGGTTGGCTGCCGATGCACTGTAGTAGGGAAAAGAGAAAAACCCCGATACGCGCAGTCATTCAGCGGAGAAGACGACGAAAGCACAGGGAAGCTCACTGACCTCCAGAAGCGCAGGGGCTCCGGGAGGCGGCCACCACTGCTGTGCGCACCATCAGAGCAGACACAATCTCTCCAGAGAAATTTTGCCTCACAAGTAACACACTTCTACCACAATCCCAATCTGGACAAACACAGTCAATGTTTTGAAAGTAGGACCAGTCTTGTCGTCTAATCTGCCAAATATCTGTGGCATGTAGTTTTTTTCTATTCTAACATTTCCTGGAGGGCCAAGAAATGCTTTATTTGTCATCAAATTACGTCAGCGAGAAACAGACCAACTCCACTCATCCTGACGTGTGAGCACCAACAGGTCACCCCAGCTCGGAAGCGAGGTACTGGCCTGGCAGGAAGACGCAGCAGACTGCGGGAGTCCACGGTCGGCGGATTCACACAGCCTCCCCTTCAGAAATCTGCTGTGGCAATTTGGCAGGCAAATGCTGTCCGCGAGTCCCACCAAGTCAGGGACAGGGAGAAGTGAAATGTCAGACGTGGCAAGCGCACAGGAGTGTGCCAGGAGTGTGCAGGCCTCCGGGCAGCGTGGAGGCCTTCAGGGCTCAGGTCCGCACAGCGCAGCGGTGGCAGTAAAGGGCAGGAGGTTCCGCCGCCTCGGCAGCCAGGCATCCTCTGCAGGGAACACAGGGCGCCGGGCACTCGGCCTGGCCCTCCTGACCTTGCTCAGGGCCACGGGCTCACAGCTGGGAGGCTAGCAGAGGACACCTGCAGTCTGGCCCACAGCCCAGACCCCTCCCACTTGAGGATAGCATGTCCCCAGTGAGTCCCTGTGACCTTCCCAAAGAATGCTTACCTCTCACATTCAGTCCGTTGTCACATGCAAACTGTGCAAAAGGTGACATGTAATTTGGGTCATATGCCAGCTCGTGAGCTTGCTCAGCAATGCTTCGTGCCGTCTGCTGTATACTCTCGTAGTTTGAATTCTAAGATGAAAAGAGGAGTTATTTTTATCTCAGGCCACATGGAGTTTTCCAGGCAAGTAAGCTTCTTGCACTATCAGCTTGAGGACAGCGGCCTCCCCTCGCTTCCCACCGTTAAGTTTCATTCTAATTAGACACTAAGCATTGCAGTGCCCAGCTAGTACGCAGGACACGAGTGCTGTCCACCAGGAAGTTCTGACAGGCTGGCCTTGGACCTTGACGCTTGGATTCTCAGTTTTGTTTTTTCCCATTTGAAATTCTTTTCTTGCAAAACTGATGGATGGAAAAGGCAGCTTCTGATGGCATTTTGAGGATGACCTCAGGAGTGCCCCTCCTTGGGAATGCAGTGCTGGCCCGCAGTTTGCTCTCCAAGGCAGAGCTGCCAGCTGCTCTACTGAAAACGCCTTTATGATCTTCCGTTAGGACAGACTCTCATACAGCTGTGTGATCCGGAGCCTCCCTCAACCCTGCTGCCCCTGCTCCTCGTCTGCAAAACGGGGATGGGAAAACAAGGCCCCGTTGGTGCCCACACTCAGAGGCCCCACTTCCATCTGAACAATAGTTTTTGCTTCATGGTCACTGCCTCAGAGACCTCCCCTGACCAATCTCAGCCACAGCCTCTCTGTCTGTTCCCCACCGGCTTCATTTACCAGCAGCACTGCCTCACAGTCGGCTGCTCTGGCTGATCTGCTCCCCAGAACTGAAGCTACAGGAAGGGCCGTGTCTGCCACACCCCTGTCACCACACAGCACGGTGCCCACGACACAGAAGCACCTGCAAGTACTGAGCTCCACAGACGAGGCTTGGTGCTGCGCTCCCCTCTGCAGGGCCTGAGTTAGTCCTCACCGCAACCCTGCAAGATAAGGCCTCTAGTGCTCCCCATTCTACAGTGAGCAGAGTACCCGCAAGCAGTGAGAGGGACAAACTCCGCCTGTACTGGCACTCGCGAAGGAAAGGCTGGTTTTCACCTCCTCTGACTCTGAGGGGAGAATTCCAAACTGTTGCATTACTGGTGACAGCTCAGGTCCCATCAGACTCCGAGCTGCCTGCCGCTCTGGGCTGGCTCTCGTGGGACTCTTTCTTGCCTTTGCCAGCCTCAATACCTGACGGGTGTGTTATAGGAATAAAGGGAGAGAGCTGGCGCTGCAGCACAGTGAGTTAAGCCACTATCTGCAGCACTGGCTTGAGTCCCAGCTGCTCCACTCTGATCCAGCTCCCTGCTAATGCACCTGGGACAGCAGTGGAGGACGGCCCAAGTGCTTGGGCCCCTGCCAACCACATGCGAGACCCAGAGGAAGCTCCTGGCTTCTGCCTGGCCTAGCCCTGGGTGTTGTGGCCATTTGAGGAGTGAACCAGTAGATGGAAGCTCACTCTCTTCCTCTATCTCTTTAATTCTGACTTATGAATAAATAAATAAATCTTTAAAACAAACAAACAAGAATAAAAGAAGAAAAAGACCATGAGGAGCCAATACCATATGCACCATTAAATGCAAACACTTCCAAGAAGGTGCCCCTCCGGACTCCGCCCCTTCACTGCCCCGAAGAAGGCTGAGGCAAGAAGGCTCTCCTCCCCTCAGTTCTCCACTGTGAATGCTTCCACGTATAATCACCCGAGACAGAACTGTCAGGATTTTCCTGAAGTTCACAAAAACAGTTTTCTCTAAAACCACAGAGAGAAAAATAAAATGGAATCAACAGAACCCAGCGGCCAGAGAGGGCCAACCTCGGAGTCGTTACCTTCAGCTTCTTCAGCTCCTGAAGGATCATGTAATCAGGCATGTTGTCAAAGAGTCCGTCTGTGGCCGTCAGGATAATGTCGCCCAACTGGACGTCGAAAGACGTGCTGTCAGCAGCATCCGGGCTGAGGCAGGGACGGGGAGGGCAGAGTTAAGAAAGCCCTTGAGAGACGCAGTTCAAGGTTTCCCTCAGGCACTATTTCACAATGCAGTAAAGCTCCTTTAAGAAAAACTAATTCATAATAATGGCATCAATAAAAAAGTCATTCTGAAATTCCTAACCTTGAAAAGGCCACTCTAATGTTGAAAAGCTTTACTGAGACCAGAGTAAAACCAATGCAGTGATAGCCAAAGGTGGCTTTAGAGCAGGAAGAGGTCTCTCTGGAGTCACAGCTAGCGTGCCTCCACAGCCCTGCTGGAAATGACTCTCCTTCCTCAGCTTCAGAGCCAAATCCCACCCTCTCCTACTCATTTTCACTCATCAGCCTCCCTGCACGACTGGCTCTGGCTCTCAGGATGCTGTGTTAAGAGTAAGGGTGGGTCCTGTAAGAATTAACTGTCACGACTGTCCCCCAGGGATCACAGAGGGCTTGTCACACTTCGGATTTACTTGTTAGTATGTCTGGCACATGGTCTTCAAGAAACAGCTGTTAAATGACGAAGTGAAAGAAGAAACAAATATCTGACTCTCAAAGTTGGGGGAAAAAAAAATCTTCAAAATAATGTTAAAAGAAGAGAGGAAGGGGCTGGTGCTACAGCACAGCAGGTTAAGCCTCTGCCTGCAAAGCTGCTGGCATCCCGTAAGGTCACTGGTTCAAGACCCAGCTGCTCCAATTCAGATCCAGCTCCCTGTTAATGCACCTGGCAAAGCAGTGGAGGACGGCCCCAGTGCTTGGGCCCTGCACCTGCGCGGGGGACCTGGAGGAAGCTCCTGGCTCCGGCCTGGCCCAGCCCTGGGTATTGCAGCCATTTGAGGAGTGAACCAGCAGATGGAAGGCCTCTCCGTCTGTCTCTAATTCTGACTTTCAAATTTTTAACAAAAAAGCAAAAAGAAAGGAAGGAAGGAAGGCTGCGTAGCATCCGCGACCACCAGCTGTGTAAAAGGGGGGCGACTCACAGATGCAGCCGCTCCTACCTGCAGAGATGCAGAGACGGTGGCCGCCTGTGAGGGCAGGAGGACGGGGGTTTCTCACTACAGCTCTTCGTGTACAACTTTTAAAAAAGCAGACAGGAGACCTTTTTCTCTGACAATGACTGATGAAAACAGACCCAGGGATGGGAAGCAGCCAGGTGGGGAGAAAAGACCAGGGTCAGCGTGGCCACGGCCTCCTGGGACTGGTTCTCGGGCACTTCCGAAGGCCAGCGTCACTGCTTCCAGAGCTCCAAGGGCAAAGGGGAGGTGCCGACATTCTGCTTTCCCCCAGCCTCACGGAACAAGCAGGCCAAAGAAAACCAGACACTGACCCAAGAGGGAGGGGCAGAACCAAAGCAACCGGGGCTTGACAGGGAGTCCCAGCTTGTGTGTCAGCAGCACGTCACAAAGTGTGCGACAGCACGAAGAGCAGCAGCACCACTCCCACCAGAATCCCCGCAGGTGGCTGGGGAAACTTCTACAGTTCTGCATACGCGTTAGCAGGGAACAAACTTGCCCCACACATCCTTATAACATGTACTTTGTAAAAACAGCTGCCACAGGAACTTGTAAGTTAAGGCTGAAACACTATCGACAAGAGCAACCAGTAACTGAAGAGCCAGGTGCAGCAGCAAGACAAGGAAAAGACTGTAAAACAGGGAAAGCAGGCCGGCTCTTTCCGGGGAATAAAGAGGAACAACGCGAGACGCCTCATCCGCTGTCTGACAAGGGGTCTGTCTGGAAGCGCACATGATGGACAGCCGGCCTATTTTATGCTGAGCTGGTCCTTTCCCCACAAGTGTCCTTCGCTAGTCTGCCTGTGGGAGACTTGCTCCCATTGGACGGCCTGTCCTCTCCTACTACTCCCACCCACGGGCTTGGTGTTCCGCCAGCTGCAGTTTTGCCCATTTTGATTGAACACACTGTGCTGCTGGAAACTTTAACTACACTGAAACATGAGCCGAAGTCACATGCTACTGAGCTGTCTCTGGGCTCCAGGGGAAGCCGCCACTGCCACCTCGCTGGCAGGCAGCAGAGTGTCCGAAAGATAGTGGTGAGATAATGCAGTGCCCAAACAGGAAGTGTCAAATGAAGGAAAATGGAAGCACCATTCTCCAAAAATGGTTAGGTGACTTTGGTACCTATGGAGGCCACGGGGTCCTGAGCTTTCCCTACTCCAGTGTGGCTAATACTCATGCGTGTTACAGACAACTGAAGGAGATCTATAGTCAAAAGTTCTTCCAATTATGGTAACCTGCTTACAACTCAAAGTAAAAGTGCTTTCTTCTCTTTGGGGGACAGTAATAGCAGTCTTAGGTGGGTGACACTGAATACCTAATTATATAGCACACTCAGTTCAGGTGCAAAGTCCACAATAAATCCTCATCTTATCTTTGTGTGGGCTAAAGGTCCTCTTTAGTAAGAGCTGTTAAATGAACACACAGACCAATGCCACCGGGCATCTGGCACAGTGGTTGAGTTGCCACTTGCAACCCCCCATTCCACATCAGAGTGCTTGGATTTGAGTCCCTCTCGGCCTCTGAACCAGCTTCCTGCTAATGCACACGCTGGGAGGCAGCAGGTGATGGCTCACGACGAGGGAGACCCAGGCTCTGGGCTTCAGTCTGGCCTAGCTTTGGCTGTTGTGGACATTTGGAGATTGAACCAGTGGATGGAAGATCTCGATCTCTCTCTCATTTTGGCCTTCAAAAACAAAAACACCACCACCAAAAAAAAAAAGCAAGGGCTAGTGTGGCATAGTGGGTAAAGCCTCCACCTGTGATGGCAGCATCCCACATGGGCAATGGTTTGTGTACTGGATGCTCCACTTCCAATCCAGCTCCTTGCTAATGGCCTGGGAAAAGCAGTGGAAGATGGTCCAAGTACTTGGGCCCCTGACACCCACATGGGAGACTTGGATGAAGCTACTGTATTTGACCTGGTTCAGCCCTGGCCATTGTGGCCACTTGGGGAGTGAATCAGTGGATGGAAGATCTCTTTCTGTTTCGCCCTCTCTTTCTGTAACTCTGACTTACAAATAAGTAAATACTTCAAAAAAAAAAAGAAGAAGAAAGAAAAGAAAAGAAAAGAAAAGAAAAGAAAAGAAAAGAAAAGAAAAGAAAAGAAAAGAAAAGAAAAGAAAAAGAGAAAAGAAAAGAAAAGAAAGAAAACACTTGGTAGATACTTTTTTTTTTTGACAGGCAGAGTGGACAGTGAGAGAGAGAGAAAGGTCTTCCTTTTCCGTTGGTTCACCCCCCAAATGGCTGCTGCAGCTGGTGCGCTGTGCTGATCCGAAGCCAGGAGCCAGGAGCTTCTTGTGGTCTCCCATGTGGGTGCAGGGCCCAAGTACTTGGGCCATCCTCCACTGCACTCCCGGGCCACAGCAGAAAACTGGACTGGAAGAGGAACAACCGGGACAGAATCCGGCGCCCCAACCAGGACTAGAACCCGGGGTGCCGGTGTTGCAGGCGGAGGATTAGCCTATTGAGCCACGGTGGTGCTGGCCACTTGGTAGATACTTTTTTTTTTTATTTTTTTTTATTTTTTGACAGGCAGAGTGGACAGTGAGAGAGAGAGAGACAGAGAGAAAGGTCTTCCTTTTTGCCGTTGGTTCACCCTCCAATGGCCGCCGCGGCCGGCGCGCTGCGGCCGGCGCACCGCGCTGATCCGATGGCAGGAGCCAGGAGCCAGGTGCTTTTCCTGGTCTCCCATGGGGTGCAGGGCCCAAGCACCTGGGCAATCCTCCACTGCACTCCCTGGCCACAGCAGAGGGCTGGCCTGGAAGAGGGGCAACCGGGACAGAATCCGGAGCCCCGACCGGGACTAGAACCCGGTGTGCCGGCGCCGCTAGGCGGAGGATTAGCCTAGTGAGCCGCGGCGCCGGCTTTGGTAGATACTTTTAACAAAAGGTTCATTACCCATCATAAACTGCAAATGATGTTTGTGCCAGACCCTGTAATCTTTTAAATTGCAGTGAAACCTTAGACTATCCTTGGCCTTACTCTGTACCCTCATCTAAGAAAAGATAATGCCTGAACAGTAATTTTTAAAAGTACCAATTGTCTTGAAAGGTTCTTGACAATTTAAAAATAAAACGAGGGGTAAGCATTTGGCCTGGCAGTCAAGACGCTGGTTAGGAGGCCTGCATGCTGTGTCAGAGGCCTGCTTTCAAGCCCTGGTCTGGTCCTGACACCAGTTTCCTGATGATGTTCACCCTGGAAAGCAGCACGTCAATGGCTCAAGAAGTTGTGCTTCTGCCATCTACACAGGAAACCTAGACTGAGTTCCTGGTTCCTGGCTCGGGCTTCCAGGGTACTGCGGACACTGGGGAGTGAACCAGCAGATTGGAGCTCTCTCTCTTTCTCTCTTCTGCTTTTTTTATTTTTCTTTCTTTCTTTCTTTTTTTTTCTGACAGGCAGAGTGGACAGTGAGTGAGAGAGAGAGAGAGAGACAGAGAGACAGAGAGAAAGGTGTTCCTTTGCCGTTGGTTCACCCTCCAAGCGCGCTGCGGCCGGCGCACTGCGCTGATCTGAAGCCAGGAGCCAGGTGCTTCCTCCTGGGCTCCCATGGAGTGCAGGGCCCAAGCACCTGGGCCATCCTCCACTGCACTCCCTGGCCACAGCAGAGAGCTGGCCTGGAAGAGCGGCAACTGGGACAGAATCCGGCGCCCCAACCGGGACTAGAACCTGGTGTGAAGGCGCCACAAGGCGGAGGATTAGCCTAGTGAGCCACGGCGCGGCCTTTTTTTTTTTTTTTTTAATATTAAAAAATAAAAAGAACTGAGAAAAGATGTCAGAAAAGAGAGATTATTTCAATACCATCATCACAGAACATATCCAAGATCATTCTTGATTCCACTTCCTGCAATTTCTATCTGGTGCATATAGGCAGCAGCCTTGAGGATCAGGAAGTAATTCTGACCAACAAAGCACATGTCTGTTTCGTTCTTTTCCCTAACGATATCTTATACAGGCAATGGCAAAACAATGACTCATTTCTCTAGCACAATTTAACAAATACACTGTATATCCCAAGTGGGGCTGGCATGAAAAACTGATACACTGTAAGCCTGAAATAGTGGTTTCAAAGTCTTGTTTAATTCCTGGTTGTTTATCAGAAAGCGAACTGGCTATAATATCTAGCTGAAGCAACAGATCTTTCAAATTCAAATTGAAAGGTCCTCTTCACGAGAACATTCTCACTGAGTCTTTTCTTACATGAAAATGGAAACTGCCCATCCCCGCTGTATTCCAGGGGGACAGGAAGGGACTTGTGGATGAGAGGGCAGGTTACCTGTCACTCAAGACAACGCCCTCTGCTTCCGGGGGAGCAATCGAGAGCTGGAATGGAGTGTTGAAGTAATGCTGCTGCTCATCCGACCGGTGCACAACTTCACCACCCCGGACAACCAGGAAGCCAGAATCGCCCAGGTTCGCTGTGTGTAAGCGGTGGCTAGTTCTGTCCAGCACCACGATGCAGGCCGTGCTGCTACCTAGAAAAAAAAATGGATTTCCGTTTATTTTCTCTTCCTAGGCTACCTCTGCATACACATCCTTGTCACGTAACCCCCCAAACAGCATGCCAATTTCATCTTTGCCTGAACAGGGTATTTCTTAGCTATGCTTTACATGTGCTATGAAAATGATAATAGGGGCTGGGCCGGAGCTATGGCGTAATGGTTGAAGCCACCGCCTGCAGTGCTGACATCCCATATGAATGCCGGTTCAAGTCCTGGCTGTTCCACTTCCGATGCAGCTCTCTGCGATGATCTGGGAAAGCAATGGTGGGAGACCCGGGGGAAGCTCCTGGCTCCTGGCTTCAGATCAGTGCAGCTCCGGCCGTTGCAGCCATCTGGGGAGTGAACCAACGGAATGAAGACCTCCCTCCCTCCCTCCCTCCCTTCTTCCCTCTCTCTCTCTGCATCTCCTTCTCTCTGTCAAACTCTGACTTTCAAATAAATAAATAAGTCTGAAAAAAAAAGTGAATAATGACCTTATCAATGGTCAACATGGTGGGGAAAGAAAATGGGATTCACATTGCACATAATGAAGGGGCCAGTAGTGATCAGAATTCTTCCATCTGCAGATACAAACAGCAGTAAAAATGCCTGTATCTAGTCACACCAGTTCATTTCAACAGTGCTCTAATCTGTGCAAGGCTCAGAAGCCTATGTTAGACACTCAGATGTCAGATGAGAATGTTACCTTTTCCTGACATGTCTCACTGGTCACTGGCAAGAACTCTTCCTCACGAAATTCATTAATATTTAAGACAGGGCACAGAAGTATAATTTTAAACCAAATTTCCATCTGTTGAGGTAATAAAGAACACTTTTTGGAGACTAATGGTAGTATAAAGTGATAAGACCAATATTCACAGGCAGCTGTGGAATCAACTTGTTCAACTGACAGAGAGCATCAGTGTTCAGTGGGCAGAGCCCACCGTCCACACGGTGAGCTAAGAGCTCTGTGTGCCCTCAGAGCACACGGCCTTGCTGCACCATTTCCCTCAGTCTGCAGAAGAACCGCAAGAGACCACTTCCAAGAACTCATTAAGTCCAACTAGCTCGACTAGAAAATAGCAAAGCAGGAAGAAAGGAGTGCAGTGCTGCTTGAGCTCGTCTGCTGAGGACCGGGTACCTCTCTGGTGGAGCGTTAGCTGAAGAGACTCCGGCGCTCGTCACAGCCGACGGAAAGCCCGAGGAGTCAGGACTGAGAAGGATCATGGTAACGTGCAGGTGGCGGGGCAGGATGGTTCGGCGGTGCAGTTTAAGATTAGGAGGCACACACCACTTAGTAAGCTAATGAAAGCCTGTTCTCAATGACAGGGTTTGTCAATGAGGCAGATCAGATTCCGATTTGACGGGCAGCCAATCAATGAATCAGACACACCTGCACAGTCGAAGATACGATTGATGTGTTCCAGCAGCAGACGGGCGCTGTCTACTGAAAAGGGAACCCGCTGTTTTACTCCAGAACTCTGTCCTTACAGACCAAGAACACATTCTCAACTAGAAAACTGAGACGGCTTCCATCACACCCTGACTACTGCAGCACAGTTTTCTCTTTCACTTCCCCTTCCTCATTCCTTTATTGTACATAAAGTACCTGGTGTATGTGCACAAGCACACTGCATTTTTTCCTCTCTTTTTTTTTTTATTTAACTAAATGGCCAATGGTATGTTCTCATCGACATGAAATGGAGATGCAATGGGGAAAAACACTGGTTCTATGAAAATATCCCCTTTCTCCATTAGTGGCATGCTCATTCAGCTCTATATTCCAGGAAGTTATTTTGCTCTTACTGTTTTAACAACAACAAAAACAAAACCAAAAATTCAACAGCATAAAAATCATTGCATATCTTGTTTGATTGGAGAATTTTAATGTTTTTCATTTATCATTGTAAAACCAAGGACAATTTTATAACTTTTTTGTATGTAGCTGTTACATGTAGGGCAATCTCTGTTTAAGCAGGGGTAAATTACTCTCTAAACTTCTTGTTTAAAATGAAAAAAAGTCCAGTGCTGTGGCACAGTGGGTTAATGCTCTGGCCTGAAGTGCCGGCATCCCATATGGGCGCCGGTTGGGGACCTGGCTGCTCCACTTCCGATCCAGCTCTCTGCTATGGCCTGGGAAAGCAGTGGAGGCTTGCCCCAGTCCTTGGGCCCCTGCGCCCGCGTAGGAGACCTGGAAGAGGCTCCTGGCTTTGGATCGGCGCAGCTCCAGCTGTTGTGGCTTACTGGGGAGTGACCCATCTGATGGAACACCTCTCTCTCTGTGTAATTCTGACTTTCAAATAAATATTTTTAAAAAATAAAATAAAAAATGGCAGTTCAAAAAATAAATGCAAATAAATGAAAAAAGATAATCTCATTAAATATTTTTTTTAAAAAAAGATTTTATTTATTTGAGAGGTAGAGTTACAAACAGTGAAAGAGAAAGACAGAGAGAAAAGTCTTCCTTCCATTGGTTCATTCTCCAAATGGCCACAACGGCCGGAACTGCGCTAATCTGAAGCCAGGAGCCAGGCGCCTCTTCCTGGTCTCCCATGTGGGTGCAGGGCCCAAGCACTTGGGCCATCCTCCACTGCCCTCTCGGGCCACAGCAGAGAGCTGGACTGGAAGTGGAGCAGCTGGGACTAGACCCAGTGCCTATATACGGGATGCAGTGCCGCAGGTGGAGGATTAGCCTGCTGCACCACGGCGCTGGCCCCAGTAGTAAACATCTTTACTTGTAAGTGTAACAAGAGTCAAAAGAAGATAATGCATGATGTTGGCAGAAGTGCCTAAAATACGTTCACTCTTATTTTGTCGTGTTGACGTGTAAACTTCAACTTTTCTGAGGGAGAGCACTGAGGTGCAGTGGCTTAAGATGTTGACTGGGACTCCTTCATCTCATATCAGAGCACCATTTCAAGCCCTGGAGTCTCACCTTCCAATCCAGCTCTTTGCTAATGTGCCTAGCAGGCAGCAGATGATGGCTCGAGGGTTTGGGTCCCTGCCACTTGCAAGGGAAACCCAGATGGAGTTCTAGGGTCCAGGCTTTGGCCTGGTATAGCCTTGGTTTTTCTGGGCATTTGAGGAGTGAACCAGCAGATGAAAGATGTCTCTGTGTCTGTGTGTGTCTCTCTCTGTCACCTTGCCTTTCAAGTAGATGAAAATAAACACTTTAAAAATTTTTTTTCAAAGTTTTGAAGGGTAATACTGTTCTAAAAATGTATATGTACTTTAATCTAGCAATTCCACTTACGAGAATTTATTAAGGAAATAATTAGCAATGCAACCAAGACTTAAGCACACAAAAAAGGCTACTTAATCAGGAGAAACTGCAAACAATCAAAACATCCGCAAGTAGGGAATGAACGAGCTAGAACACACACATGCCCATGTAACACTCAGGAGTACAGATGCTGGACTCCAACTGCATGGTCAGAAGCCCAGCTCTGCCATTTACCAGCTGTGTGACCTGGGGTAAATCAGTCTCTTTGTGCCTCAGTTTCTAAAACTATAAAAAACAGGGATGGGGTTGGCACTATGGCACAGCTCTGTGATATCAGCAGCCCATACAGCACTGGTTTGAGACCCAGCTGCTCCACTTCCTATTCAGCATCCTACTAATGCACCTGAGAAAGCAGCAGAAGATGGTCCAAGTACACAGGCACCTGCCACCTACACAGGAGACCCAGATCAAGTTCCAGGCTCCTGGCTTTGGCCTGGCTCAGCCCTGGCTGCTGCAGCAGTTTGGGGAGCAAACCAGTGGATGGAAGACCCCCCCCCCTTTTTTTGACAAGAAGAGTTAGACAATGAGAGAGAGAGAAAGGTCTTCCTTCTGCTGGTTCACCCCCAAATGGCCGCCACGGCCAGTAAGCTGCGCCAATCCAAAGCCAGGATCCAGGCGCTTCCTCCCGGTCTCCCATGCGGGTGCAGGGCCCAAGCATTTGGGCCATCCTCCACTGCCTTCCCGGGCCACAGCAGAGAGCTAGACTGGAAGAGGAGCAACTGGGACAGAATCCGGCAGTCCAACCAGAACTAGAACCCGGAGTGCTCACTAGGATTAGCCTAGTGAGCAGTGGCACCGGCCGAAAGACCTCTCTTTTAACTCTCTGTCTCTGCCACTAACTGTCTTTCAAATAAACAAACAAACGTTTTATAAAAAATAGGGATGATATTAACTTTCTTACAGAGTTGTTTCTTTCTTTCTTTCTTTCTTTTTTTTTTGACAGGCAGAGTGGACAGTGAGAGAGAGAGACAGAAAGAAGGGTCTTCCCTTTGCCGTTGGTTCACCCTCCAATGGCCGCTGCGGCCGGCGCACCGCGCTGATCCGAAGGCAGGAACCAGGTGCTTATCCTGGTCTCCCATGAGGTGCAGGGCCCAAGCACTTGGGCCATCCTCCACTGCACTCCCGGGCCACAGCGGAGAGCTGGCCTGGAAGAGGGGCAACCGGGATAGAATCCGGCGCCCCAACCGGGACTAGAACCCGGTGTGCCAGCGCCGCAAGGAGGAGGATTAGCCTAGTGAGCCGCGGCGCCGGCCCAGAGTTGTTTCTAAGAATTGCAATCCGTTAAGTCACATCAAGCAGTCTCAGTTATTTAATAGCCATTAAAATTACACTGAAGAGATCTATTTGGAAAAGAAAGATGATAATTTCCAGGACATAAGTAGAATGCAGACTGATATTAAAATTTCCTTTTAGGGGCTGGTGTTGTGGCTTAGTGGGTAAAATGGTCACCTGCAGCAGTGGCATCCCATATGGGCTCCGATTCGAATCCCGGCTGATCCATTTCTGACCCAGCTCCCTGCTAATGCATCCACGTGACAGACTGAAGAAGCTCCTGGCTACAGGCTTCGGTCTGGCCCAGCCCTGGCTGTTGCAGCCATTAAGGGAATAAACCAGTGGATGGAAGATTTCTGTCTCTCCTTCTAACTCTGCCATTCAAATAAATAAAATGAATCTTTTAAAAAGATTTCCTTTTAAGAAAAAGGTCATATCA